ATTCTACAGTTGCCTAGATCTCTATTACTCTGTCTCAAAGGTCTTCATGCCTATGCGGAATCCTATTTTGGGACCTGGCACTCAGAATGTAAAGCCAAATTTTTAATTAAAACCCTACATGTTTTGCCTTCAAAAATATTACTTAATTGGATTAATCAATATGTATGGAGCAGGGAGAAACTCAGACAGGAAATTCTTAAAATGGAAACAATTTGAATCAATGTTTTAAAAGAAATATTCACAATGCCTAAAATTAAAAATAGCCTGAGGGGAGGAATAGGAGGATTTATATCTAAAAATGCCCCAAGAGAACTTCTCTTGTGAAATTCCCCCCAAAATAAATATTTTTCTGATCAACTTTGGATAGAGAGAACTCATTATTCCATTAGATATAAGCAGGGATCAGTTACTGTATGAAACACAGACCAGATGCATTCAGCATTCCCTTTATACTATCAAACTGCCTTTTATCCACATTCCCCACATGAAAATTTGTCTTCAAAATCCTCCTGGAAACAAAATCAATATAATAATAATTTTTATAATGAGTAGAAAAATGTGCAAGAAGAGGAAGGACATTTTTATATCTTCTAATGAAGTGCTGTGCACAGATTGGTGGGCTAGCACTGCCTCTGGGCCAGTATGGCGTGTGCTGACATGCGGAATGATGTCACTTCACTTGCTCAGCCTAGAACTACTTTTTGGCACAAAACTTCTGATAAACCAATAAATATGTGCAGCCTCCAAATGCAATCAGTTTTATATGAGCTAGCTCACCTGTTTTGCCAGGGTATTGCAGCTCTAAGCATTACCTTCTCAAAATCTGGAGGTCCTTTAAAGGGCTTGCCTAAATGCCAAAGTGACAGAAGCAGAATTGAAAATGTATGCTCCAAGCTGTTAGTTTATCTATTGCATAGCCCATCTTTCCTTCTGCACTGTGAAAAAGCATTAGAATTACATTGTTTTCTAGAAGTGAAAATCACAGGAGAAAAGGATCATCTAATACCAAGTTAGACACTTTTACAATAATTGTTCCTGGTCCTAATTCTAGAGTAGTCTATAGGCAAGGATTTTGATAATTTTTGGTTCTGGATTTTAGGCCTTGTTCTGTTTCCCTGTACCTCATATTAACCTCACATATATTGGCATCTAGCAAAAGTCTTGTCTGTAATACAAAAGAGAGTCTGAATGAATTGGGAAGTACAAGTTAATTGTGAACATAATTGCACTTCTGGTGGATAATTGCAATTGTAAGTCAAGCAAGACAGCTTCTAACACTTGGGTCAGGTTTTTAATTCTGTGATCTAAATTATTAATGAAGATATTTTCATAAGCTTTCTGCATAAAAAGTGGCTTCATAACAGAGAGGTCAGCTGGTCTTGTCTTCCAGCCTTTATCATTCTCAGTGGTAATCAGAAGATGTTTTCCCATAAATGTATGCTGTTTTTATGCATCCTGACATACACACCAGACGTAGGTGGTGAATTACTTAGAAGCTTTATGAAGCAAAAATTAATTCTGTAGGTTCTAGTTCAAAGAGTGATTTAATACCTTGGGAATCTTGAAAGCCATATTGAGTCTATTATGGAAAGCCCAATGCAGACCACTTTTCACAGTGTGGCTGCAGTCAAATGAAGTGGCATGATGCATAAAGAAAACAAGTTGATCAGTACAAGCATATATAATAACATCATATAAATCAGTAGTGTTTCCACATCTGTTAGACGTCTGCATTGAACACATTATATCTTGAGACTGATACAGTGTCAATATAAGAGGATTTGAGACAAGCAGCAAGGTTGATTAGGAGTATAAAGATTTTTATAAGAGGAGAGTGAAAGGTTGAGATTATTTATGCAGAAGATGGATTGAAAACTTCTATAACCTGTCTCCTAAAGCAAGATTTAAGAGCCAATCCAGTATCTTCAAATAGAAAAAATTCAAAACAAGTATACTAGAATTTTGTTTTGTACCTGAAACACAAAGAAATGACGGAATTCAAGGTCACAAATACGGAAATTTAAGATAATTCAGAAAGATATTTGGCACCCTTTTCAATTAGAATTTTAAACAATAAACATATGAGGTTTTAGAAAAGATAAATCACTTTAAAGTGCCTGAGTTAAGCAGCCAAACATATACTTCCACTATAATGGTTTATTGCATCTTCTTGGGGTGTGTCTTGGCTCATTGGCATTGTGAACATTGAGTAAGAGTCAGGATATACAAAATAGGCAATTATTTGTATTCATGGTGACAGTTTTGCTTCCTTTGGCAATCCGGATTAAGTTGTATAATTTATCTCTGCTCTGTTTGTCAAGAAAAAAAGAATGGATGGCAGCTTTGATTTCCCTTTCTGTCCCCAGAAAGAAGATGTCATAGTTGCCTTTCAGAGATTCAAAGGGTCAAATATTTTGAAGACTCTTTCATTCACATATCATGTTAATGAGGTCTGGGACTACAGAAAATATTGAATTCTGTGCTTCTTTTCTGGCATTTTGCTACTTAGATGAATGAGAGATTGTATACTTTACGATTTCAGGGATGTTGAGTTGGAAGCACTTACTGGGTGTGTTTTAGTCTAAAAACACTCATACCTTGAAATTTTTTCTGCCTCTGAGTGTCTCAATTTCTGTATTGAGACAACTATTAAGAGTCTTACCATGATAATTCTAAGAACTTAATACATTCCTAAGAAGTTTTCTTAAAAAAAAAAAATTCTTAGCAAGAGTGTCTCCTCCTCCTACTCCAATTTATGTAACAAAAAATTCCAAGCCTAAAATGTAACCCTTCTTCATCAGAGCACTTGAAAGCTGAATCAGAATCTGAATTCAGAAGCTACTTTTTCTCTTCACAGATTCAAAACCTGAAATCCCATTGGTGTTAGCTGTCAAATTAGCAAGCTATGGCTGTGATTAGAATGTCTTAAAGAGAGAATTTCTGCTCAATGGGATTTTCTGGGGAAAAAGGAAATAAATTCTGTTGTGGAGTTAAAGGAATAAATACCGGAATTTCCCCCCTTGCTGTCCCCCCAAAATAACCCCCAAATTAGTTAATTATAGTCTGTTAAAATCAGAGAATATTAATGCTGAAAATGCAGATCAAGCAGGTCAAGAGCAAGTTATTTAGTACCATGTCCAGGCCAGTCTTGAGCTTTGATTGTTTTCTTCAGAGTGAAATTTCTTTTCCTGATTTATGGTATCAGAATTTTCCAGGTACCAGCTGGTGGCTGTTGTAGCTTGTCCTTTCCCTGAGCAGAGATTTTGCTCCCTGATGCCACTAGAGCTCTTAGGTGCTCCTAGGATCTCCTTGATCCCAGTGGCTGACAGAAAGATGAGTCCAAATAGGGTGGATCCCCTCCAGGTGCAGGTACACACACACGTCTGTGTTAAAAGGTACTCTTAGCCAGTGTTTTGCTCATCTTTTTCCCCAAGGGACACCCCAACTCACCAGCTGCTCCTCAGTTGGATCCAGTATCCCTGTTCCCAGCCTGCAGGGTGGTGCCTGTCAGTCCAACCAGTGGACCTTGTCCTCCATGGCCTATTCAGCTGTGGGAGACCACGTCACAGGCTTTGTTAAATCAAAATAGCGCACACTGCTCATCCTTCATTCACCAAACCGGTCCTGTATTCATGCTAAGATCTCAGGTGACACAGTTCAAATGTATCATGTTTATTCCTGGTCATTTCTTGTTTTTCATATCCTGGGAGTCATTTTCTGGAGAATTTGATGTGTGACCTTCCCAGGCACTGAGGGTGATTAACCTGTATTTACCTAGAGTAATGAGGGCAGAATTTGAGCGGTTTGTTCAATGACCATGGTCAGAAGTTTGACTTTATTATCTGATTAATTTTCTCCCTCTTTGCCTCACTGCTTGGCTAAAAATACTCTGTTAGAACAATGCCAAAGGTCTGGGATTAAAATTCTGTTAACTCAGAAAAAAAACCTGTTCTAAGGACAATTAATTTGAGGTTACTTGAGAACTTCCATACACGTAGCTGTTTAAACATGGAATGTGGAAATGCTGGTTAGTGTGCCCTCAATAAGCAGAAGGGAAGGTAATAAGAGGCAAATCACAAGTGTTCATAAAATATAGCATGACTTTGAGCACTGTAATAAACAGGCTATTCAGTCTTGCTACGGTACAAATACCGGTGGTAGTAAATCTGTCAGACACTCTGCAATGCTGTGAGGAACGAAAGAGGTTGAAGGACATTCAACTGGGCAAGGCCACAGCCAAGAGAGTTTGATAAAAACCTGCACATAACTAGAAGGTATTAGGGACTAAAATAGAGGCAGAGTGATTGGTGTGATTCACAAGTGTCTGATAGAGAATGATCAAATAAAATTAAGGGGGAGTCTATCAGTAAAGATTGAATAAGATGTAGACACGCTCCCATGTGAATCTGAAGGACAGCCCATGAGCTCTGAAAACTGAATAGAGTAACTAACAAATACGAAAATTTTATCAGTCTCATATGAGCAGGGAAATAAAGGGAATGCTTTTATGAGAATCCATGTGCCTAGCAGCTGTGATGCTCTGATGAGGATCCATTGAAATTTTTGTGGAAAAGTTGCTGCTGATCCCAGTCAAGGTAGATCAAGATATTAGTGTGAGTACAGACCATGTTTGTCAGAGTAATTTGTCCAGGAACAAAGGTGAAATGCACAAGGAGTGGTCGAATCAGTACAGGCCCATAGGGAGTACCTAGGGAAAATAGTATTCAGTAAGCCATTAGCTGTGCATAGGAACCTATAGAAATGTGTTAACTGAATATCTGTTTTCCTTCATAGGACGAGTTAATTAGTTAATTGGTCATACTTGGAAGTGATGGGATATGGGGCTATACTATTCCATTCAGGAGAGCATGCTGAGCTTATGTAGTTTGATTTTATTAGAGGTAGATTACTGTCATGTTCTGTATTTGACAACGTAACACGAAAAAGTTCAGTTTGGTTTTCCTTGCTTGTCAAGAGGTTGTTTTCTTTGTCTCACTTAGATATTTCACTTGCCGGAGCCTCGAGTGTGCGTGGAGCCCGCCTTGTTCTCACACAGATTGTTGCCCTTCTGATGAAGAGGTTTCACCACACAAGGCGAGACTGGAGAGGAAGCCTGTCAAATGTGCTGCTGCCCGTCCTCTTTGTTGCACTGGCAATGGCGTTATTTAGTGTGAAGCCGCTGGCTATCGATTATCCTTCTCTCAAGCTAACACCAAGACTTTACGACAGCGCAGAATCCTTCTTTAGGTAAAGGGCTCATCCATCATCATCAATTTCCAGGGCTCTGGGACCTTTACCCTTGAGCTCTCCTATTGTAAAGACCTTCTTGCATTCTAGAAAGAAGGATAGGTTACTTTTTGCAATAGTTATGTGGAGTTTTTTATAGATGTTTAGTACACTTTTATAGATATTTATAAGGTAAAGATAAAATTGGAAAAGCTTTGTGTGTGAAGGATTTTTTGGAGGAAAATGCAAAGGCTTTGGAGAAGACTGAACTCAAATCAATACCAGCCCTGACCATTTATATGTAAATGAACAAGTGTATTTGAACAAGCATATTTGAACAAGCCTTTGCATGCTTCATTTAAAAAAATTGTGTAGGCCTGAAGTTATTTTCTCAAAACAATTATTGGGTTTGAAAATGCCACACAGTATTTAGAAAACCTGCTGCTCTTCTTACTCAACCTAATTTTTGTATGTTCAACTTCAAAATAAACTAGATTATTTATTTATTTTTAATGTGCAGTGTCTATAGAATTAATCTATATGTAGAGTGCTAATCACACATATAAGTCTCTTTATTGTGCAAATATACAGTTGAACATAGCAAGATGTTGTTTGAATTTATAAATATAATAAAAATTTATTTTATAAGCATAAAAACATTTTAGTAATGCCAACAGCTAGAAATGCATGACTATAAGGAGAAGGATGCCCATGGATAGATGTTGAGATTTGTTTAGCCATAATTGTAATGAATTTTCTTTACATGTCATAGAGTTCTTTGAAATGAGATTATTTTGGTATGTTTCCTATGCATGGATTCTATAGTGCTTTAATTTCTTGGAAAATATATAGGACCTTGAGACTGAAGGTTAATAGAGCTAGACATATCAACATGTCTTTATTTATTTTATTTTTTAATTTTTCTTTCCTCTTCACTCCTTATACTCCTATGGTCCTCTTTGAGCAGCACTGAAGATGATAACCTAGGAAAACTTTCTCAGGTTCTACTGGGATATTTCTCTGATTGGGACCACAGATGCACACATTCACAACATGGGTAATTGTAACTAATATAACAATTTCCTTAATTTAAATATCAAATATTTAAATATTAAATATTTTCTGTGTAATGGATTATCTTAGCCTTTTTTTGGCAGCATGGAGTTAGTGACAAATTGTTTCTGATAAAGGAACTGGCATCCAGGTGAAGAACAAAGTAGGCTTTACTGTTAAAGGTCTGATCCATACATCTTAAAAGTCAGTGGCAGTTTTCCGATTAATTTCAAGATGATTTTGATCAAGCCTGGTGTCCATATGAAGGATGAATAGACAATGAAGAAAATATTTGTTAAGAAGCATTCTAGATTTCCAAATTCAGGAATGAAGTGGTGACAATGCTTTAATAATTGCTGCGAATATGAGACATGAAGCTCATTTGATGCCTATATAAATATTTTTAATAAATCAACTTTGATAAAAATGAGTAAAATTTGTATCACTCTAGACACAGCTGCTGCTGTGATCAAATGCTAAGAAGTTGTTAGCATGCCAGATCTGCTCATTACTCTCTGGATTTCTTCTGTTAAGTGACATATTACTTTCTTTTTGTAGTTATAATTTTTATTACATTTATTCCTATTAGAAAAAATAATTCATGCTGGCAGATGGCATCTGTGTCACCTCAGGATTCATGCAGATGTGTATCTGAACAGGAGGTAGGTAATTTTTTATTTACTAACACATGTAAAAAATGCATGTGTGTAAATTACTTCTAATTCCTTGGCTGCTGTTTTTGAAGGGCTGGTGAAAGTGATGAGGAAATAAATCATCACAGGTCCAACTTTGTTATGATTGGAGGTTTTCTTCTGTTTCACTTAATGAAATTGTACACAATTTTCTTGTTTATATATATACAAACACATATGTGCACTAGAAATGGCTATAGATTGATCTGAAATAACAGGATCATAGGCAGCTGAACTATTTTCAGCAGATGTAACTTACTTTAAATGTGTTATAGGACTCTTGAGTTAGAAAAACCTTCATGTAAAACAAGGTTGAACATAACACTTCCTTAACATCTGGAAGACTTTCAAAGGGAAGGGTGGGTGAACCTAGCTGGTAGAACCCACCAGAGAATTTACACATGAATGAGATTTAATTGTGAGAGTTTGCTTGTGGTTTGGATTCTGGATTCAAAATACAACAGGCTTCAAGAAATGAAGGATTTTGAAAAACATAATGAATTTCTGACCTTCCTAATGAATTATTTTTCCTGCTGACTTGCTCTGAGTTGAATAATAAACAAAAATATGAAACTGTGTCTGAGGTGACAAATGTATTTCCCCAAAAAGGAGTATCCTACAAAAAAAAAGTTTATTTTGTTTATAATGATATAATTATTTAGAATAAGAGTAGCATATGAAATATAGCGATACAGTTTTGGGAAAAATGGAAGGAGGAAACTTAGTTTTTACTTTTCTGGATGAGGAATAAGTTTGCCTTTAATACTCAGGAGACTTCAAAAACAAGAAGGCTGAATAAAAACAAATGGGAACTTTCACAGGGAGAGGTCTATTAACCATGAAAACTGAAAGAAGTCACTTGACAGTGGAGGCACAATTTCTGTGAGCTATGTAAGAGCAATCTTTGAAAGTGAATTTTTATTTTCTGTAGGTTTGTTGATTGGCATAAATTTCTTTGTAAAGCTTCAGAGTTAATTGAGTCTAATATCTTTCACCTTTTCTTTGGTTGTGAGAATGTCCCACTGAATCATTGAAAGACATCTTCCTTTATTCTTCTCTTCAGCTCATCAATAAAATTTTTAGAAGCTTATAACATTAATTAGAATTTTGCTTTCATCTCATATTTATCTGGTGCCTATTTTGTGTTTCTTCTCAGGAAAAACAAATAAAAAGCAGTCTTGCCTTTTTCATTGCTGTAAACATTCCTAAGCTTATATAAAAGTTTTGATGTTTTCAAAACCAACTGACTGACAGGGCTGCAAGGGAAATCAAAGGCATTTCTCATGTGTAGGTGGCACAATCATTTGAGTTGCCTTATAAACATAAAAATATTCATAATTTATTGAAAATCTGTTAAAGCTGGGAAAAGCAAACTGAGTTAAAAAGAAATGCTATAAAATCTACATCAAAATCCAAAAATAAGGCTAAATGTAGTGCCACTGCTATTTAAAAGTGCTTTACTTACTTTATGTATACTTTTTTTTCAGATGTGCCCAGCTTTCAATACCTCTGCTCCCTATATGAAGAATAAGAAAGGACATATTTTGTATAATCTTTCAGGGTTCCCTGTGGAAGAGTATTTAGTGAGGTCTTCCAACAAAACAAGGTAACCTTAAAACATCTAGCCTTTGTTTATCCTTTGTGTATAAACCCCACAGTCCTTCCTGATGCAAAGCATAGACATTTGTCACTGAGAATATAAAGGGTCATTGTCTTTATCTGGTGATTGTTATCAAGGTGTAGCATTAGGTTGTGATTTAAAGTAACACGAAAGATCCTCAATGGTCACATCTCAGAACTTCCTCCAGCAGCTTCATGGTGATCACCTCTAGACGTACTCTGGAGTAGTGAGCTATTTCAGCATCTCAGAGATGCATATCTAAAACAGGTGAACAAAATAATTTCCATTCCTCAGAGACTCAATCTAATAGAGGTGGATATGCTCCAATTAATATTTTCTTTGAAGTAGAAAGGGCTGGTGTGCCCCTGGCAATACTTCATATTCTGTGATGTCAGCAACAGAGGTTATCTACTGTATTTTGAAGTTTATTTATTTTATTTATGTGCCTTTACAACTCAACCACTGCTGATAATGTAAGTGGCAATATTAGACCATGTATGATTTTATTGAGAAGAAAGTGTTAGCCACTTATATATTAAAAGAAAGGGCATCTGATTTGATAGAGGTAAGCATCTCTGAATGAAAGATTTGAGCTAATATATGAATGGTTTAGGAAGAAATAAAGCTATTCAAGATGCTTCTGAAGTCAGTAATACCTCACTTGCTCACACCCCTTCCTGCTGATCAAAGATTTCAGCTTTCAGAAAGCAAAAATTCTTATCTTTTGCTGGAAAAAAGTCCAATAATATTCACCCAATTAAAAACTGCATTGTCCCTCTTCTTTTTAACAAGGAAGGAGTTTGTGGGGGGTGAAGTTTTACTTTCAGTTGAAAAATAAAGCTTTAGTGTACCTATCTCAACTTTACCTTTGCAAGAAAACTGCAGAGCTTAAGGCAGATAATTTTTTGTTACTTTAATTTCTACTACCAGATACGGTGGTTGGTCTTTTGGAGGGATGAAAACATTTGAACTGCAAGATAAAAAATTGAATAACACCAAATCTCAGCCTCTGGCTAAGGTAAGAGTTGCACGTGTGTGTGCACATCTGTATGTTTGTATTGATTACTTTTTCAGGCTTCAGACATCACAGGACTTAGCAAATAATAAATCATTACATGAAATTCTTGCACTTGAATAATTGGGAAAAAATCCTCTGTCTCTTGTCGTCTCACTCTGTTCATAATTCTTGAAGCAATCTCCTGTGTTTGAGAAACCTGTTTTAAATTAGTCAAATGATATACCTTTTTTTTTTTTTTTAGTCCCTGTGAACACATTTTCGAATCTAAGTTTAAAACTTGCTTTTAGGTAGTCAGCCAAATAATATTTTTTGTTTGTATTCTGCAAAAACCTGATGTCAGAATTGACCAAAGTGCATTGAACATCACAGTAATGGGTTTCTGTTGATGCTTTTTCATGCCTACAAGGGTTACTTTACCTTGCTTCATTTCTCTCACCACCCTCTCCCTAAGAGTAAAGACATCTTCCATGAGCAGCTCCTTCTGCATAACAAACATACTATTCTTTTTTCAAATGAACCTTTCTAAAATGTTCCAAGGGAAATAAAATCCTCTGCATTGGAAAGTGCTTGTTAGCCTCCAGGTCTCATCCCAAGTTTTCACAATATGGAGATACTGTACCTCTCATGGCCACGGCATACCAAAAGGCCTTAAGGAAAAGCCCTTTATTTCAGTTGTGCTTAGAATAATCCTTCTTTGATTTTTGGGATCCATTTAAATGTAGATGCATTACCGGTAGAGGAATAACAGTCTTGGAGAAGTATTGATGCATAGCAGTGAGAGGTTTCTGTTTTTGTATTTGGGCAAACAAGTTTTGTTTTAAGAGGAAGCTGTGAATTTTCCAGATTCTAGATTAGGATACAAAAGAAAGGTGCTTCTGCCTTTACATTTTTAAATGTAAATATAGATTTTATTTGCTCTTAGAAAAAAAAGCAAACAAGGAACAGCATAAATAAGCTCCATCCCAAAATCCATTTGAGACAAAGTGTTAGGCAAAAATACAGATTTTCTCCAGTTCAATGTAATTTCATGCTTAGTTTTGCAAAATCAATTCCTGTTTCTAATGCCTTTCGCATACAATTTGTTAGAAATCTCCCTATTTTATATACAAATCTGAGCATATACACATCTTCATTTTGGTCATTTGCAATCTCTCTTTTAGTTCCATATATTTTATAGGTTTGAACTCCAGTTCTGTCATTCCTTCATGAGAAACCTGAAAGTTTTCAGCAATATTTTTTTCTGACTTCCAATTTTTCCTGTGTATCTTTAATCATTTTAGGTTCTTGTTTTGACACGCTTGCGCTGTGGTCCTTTTTTTAGTGTGTTTGGTATAGAGCACCACCTGCCATCAGGACAGGGATAAATTATAGTCATACTCTTAGTAAGTAAGTTTCATATTTCAGACCCAAAGCAAATAGTGAAGTAAATTTATAAAGGGCACTGTGTTATCTAAAGCATCTCCTGGAAATGTCTTTCAAGGGATGCAATGTCAAGTTATTGCATTAACCTTTCAGTAACTAATGACCAGATTTTTACTTTGACCTTTCAGGACTGTTCATGAGACAGTGAATGTACCATTTACATAGTCTGGTATGAAATAAAATGAGAAATTTGCATTTAAAGAGAATTACTGTATGATTCACTTCATTTTAGAAAATTTCTGAATCTTTATGCATTCTTTTTCAGTACTTGAAAAGCCAGAATTTTTTCTCGTTCAAATTAAAAATCTTTATTTAGTAACTATTTTAATGCACTTAATCATACTGTGCTGTATATACCACGCACCTGGTATATGCATGCACATGAAGAATGTGTATATGTGCATACAAGAAAAAATATATCTATGACATGAAAAATATGGCTAACTAAAAACATTGATTATTGGCATTCATTGATGATTGGTGCTATGTAGCAAAAGCACAACTTCCTGATTTTTTGTATTTTCTTGACTGTATATTCTTTGGCTTCCTTTGGTAATATGCCCAAAATATTGTTCAATAATAGCGTCAGAGCTGCTGGTTTTTATAGCATAAGGAAATATAGGAAGAACATGTGATAATTTTAAATACTGCTGAAAGGCAAATTGTTCTGTTCACATGTCATTTGGGAGAGTATATTTTTCCGATCCCAAAGGTTGGGACTTGAGGCTTTACAGTACAGCAATTGTATAAGTGTCCATAGGAAAAAATTACATCTTTCTAGTTTAATATCAATCATGAATCTGGTCCAGCAATGCTGAGGGACTTCTCTGCTCCATCTCATCCTTTTTTCTTGATAGGCCATATGTTAGAGGAAATGTCAGTCTAGCTTTGTTCTGGAATATTAATGGCAAGTAAAAGATTATGTAATAATGTAAAATATGTCTTCACAGAACTTCAATCTGCTGTGGTGAGGGTTTGTGTTTTTCCTTGGGAAAGAATTTTCCTAAATATGGATAGAATATAAAGTAAAAATTAATCATATTGCTGTATATAGTTTTCTGTTCCTCATCTCTTTTCTGCCATCTGTAAATAATTACCTGTGTGGCACAAAAGAAATATGAAAGATGTTTCAGCTAGAGCTAGTACATTTCCTTTTTTTTATATTTTACTTTTGCTAATAATTTTGAATAAGAAACAAGTCTTTAGAAAAAAGGCCTTAAATGTACCTTCTGGTGAAGTAAGCAACCTTAAATGTCTATTTTTCCTGTTTATAATAAATTAAATATCCATTTGGTTATTTCCTCATGGTTTTATTCAGTTAAATAATGCAGCTTGGAGGATAATTCCAATTAACTTGTTGGATATTAAAATATATTGTTACACCCAATGCTCTGTTGTATTAATTTGAATACTAGTTACATTACTTTATTTTAAAAATGCTCTCTGAACATTTGTGACCTTTCCCCTGACTAAATTAAATGAGGATGTGTTGTCAGAATTTTGCTTTGTTGTTTTTTTTAATTGCATTTTTTCCCCAATACAAGACACAATTGCAGTGGAGTTTCATTATGTATGCATGTAAAACTTTCTATTTTGTGAAAAACTTTCGACAACCAATAGAATTAGAATTAGGTGTATGGGGCTGTGAAAAAGACAGTTTACCCTTGATCACTGGTTTCTGTCTTTTTGCCCTGATTGCTACAGGGGAAATCATGAGGTCCTGCAGTGCAAAGATTTTCAGTTTTCCTCGTGAATCTTAGATTTTCCTTCACTACCTTTTGTTAAAAACTCTTGTTGATTAATGAATGGGACATCTAGTTTGTGGAATAATTTCTGGGAACTAAACCGGAGAAGAACAAAGGAATTTCATGACTTTGCAAAGAGGGGAAGATGTTAGGGTTTGTTCTTTTTCCTTTTCTTTAAATGTGGGGACATACGGGTTTGAGACATTCGAGTACCATGTGCCACTACATTACATGGCACATGGAAGATATCCAGAGGATCAGGCACAGCCTTCATGGATTTGTGAAAGGCAGATCCTGCATGACCTGACCTTCTATGACAAAGTGACCTGCTTACCAGCTGAGGGAAAGGCTGTAGATGCTGTCTGTCCAGACTTCAGTACAGCATTTGACACTGTCTCCTACACCATGCTCCGTGTAAAACCGGCACCTTGTGGCTTTGATGGCTGACTCTTTGATGGCTAAAAACTTGTATGGCTGGACAAGAGAGTTGTGGTGCTACATCCTCTTGGTGGCTGATCACTAGCTGTGTTCCCCAGAGCTCTGTTTTGGGGCTGGTCCTAATTAACATCCTTGTTGATGATCTGGATGTGGATACCCTCAGTAAATATGCAGGTGATACTAAGATGTGTAGGGGTATTGATCTGCTTGTGAAGGTATGAACGCTTTTCAGAGAGACTTGGACAGACTCTGTCATTGGGCTGAGGACAACTGCACGAGGTTCTAGAAGGTGAAATGCTATGTCCAGAACTTGTGTCCTAGCAGCCCCATGCAGCTCTACAGGCTGGTGGTGGAGTGGCTTGAGAGTTATCAGCAGAAAAGGGACCTGAGGGTCCTGGTTAACCCCCAGATGAACATGTGCCAGTATGTGCCCAGGTAGTGACATCTTGTCCTGTATCAAGAACAGCATAGCCAGCAGGACCAGGACAGTGTTTTTCCCCTTGTATTCAGCATTGGTGAGGCTGTACCTCAAGTATTGTATCCAGTTCTGGGCACCTCACTTGAAAATATTGCACTTGAAAATATTGAGGTGCTGAAGCGTATCCAAACAAGGGCAGCAAGGCTTGTGAAGGGTCTTGAGAAAATGTCTTAAGAGAAATGGCTGAGGGAGATGGGTTTGTTTAGTCTTGAGAACAAGAATCTCAGGGGGGACCCCATTCCTCTCTACAACTCCCTGAAAGAAGGCCGTAGGGAATGGTGACTGGTCTCTTCTGCTGTGCCTGCAGAGAGAATGAGAGAAAATTGTCTTGAGCTGAAACAGGCAAGATTCAGATTAGATATTGGAAAATCTAAAAAATCATGGTTACAGGGGTCAGGAATTGGAATAGTTTCCCTAGGGAGTTGGTGGAGTCATCCCTGGAGGTGTTTAAGAAGTTTTTGGATCTGATGTTGGGTGATGTGGTTTAGTGGTCTAGGAGTTATAACAGTAGTGCTGGGTTAGTGGCTGGACTTGGTGATGTTAAAGGTCTCTTCCAACCTTGGTTTGATGATGCTGTTGAGATTTCAAGCAGTTGTGAATACCACATAAAGAGTAGAAAATGTGAAAGATAATGCAGATAAGCATAATGGCAGATCAAAGCTGCTATTTTTTTACAAAATGGCTAACAGAGCTTGTGGCAAAGAAGATTGAAGGGTGAGAGGAAGAGAAGAAATGACAGTGGACCTCAGAGTGGTTCTTGGTGGGAGGAAATAAAACAGACTCGGAGTATTGTTAATGTCACCTCACAAAAAAGTGAAGATTCAAACAAGTACGTACTCAGGATAATTAATCAGAAGAAAATTATTAAGACAGAGAAACAGAACTGAAGGTAAGGCAGGCTACACTGGGAAATATAGAGGAGAATGTGTCAGAAAAAACAGTCAGAGTCTGGAACTATGGTCCAAGTAAGGATTGTAGTTGTTAGTATGAGAAGAAAGAAAAAAAAAAAAGGCAGAATCATCTGCAAGTAAATGAGAGCAGCATCAAGATATGATAAGAGAATCTTTAGGGAAGTTTCTAATATGTAAGTGTATAGATGGCAATTCTAGAAACTATGAAATTAAGAGAGGAGTGTTAGGGCAATAAAGATGTATATTAAATCCTGTTCACTTTGCATTATGATTCAGAGTCCAGAGAGACAATGAGAATTGCCCTACCTGGGATGTACAAAATACAGAGTACAAACAGCTGATATCAAAGACAGAAAGGTTAGGAGTTTTTCAACTGTTTAAAAAAAGGGGGAGAAGAAAGGGTGCTATGATTTGAGAAATGGATAGTAATCAGGTGGTTTTAAATGTCACTGAGACTGAAAATCAACATCCATAATAATTTGACTTCCTTTTCATTATGGATAATATAGATTCAAAGGCACTATGATTAACAGTAATGGGTGTTAAGAATCAATTTCTAACTGCAGAGGAAACTCAAAGCTCAGTATATTTGGTTTTGGGGCATATCAAGCTCTCAGCAATGGTCTTAGCAAGTGGAAGTGTGGATTAAGAGTACTTTATCAAGTCAAAGTGAATCTGCATGATCTGAAGATAAAGTATATGTTACAACAGAATTGTTTCCTTGTGTTCCTCAGAGAGACTGGCTTGCCTTGTCTGCCTTAAAGTTTGTCTGCATCAATTTCCTCCATGTTTAACAAGCCACTGATGCTGGATTCTTAATCATAATGCAAAGTGAACAACTTTGTCTATGGAACAGCTTCATACCTTGTAAACAGTGCCTCCTTGATTCCTTCTTTCCCCCTCTTTCTAGAATATTCTGTTCCTAAATAGTTTATGCTTTGTGTCATATGTAGGTATTATTCAGAGGAATCTCTTTGGAATTTCAATGATTCTTCCAATTTAAGCAATAGTTTTACTCACCTTTTTGTATTTTTGATCAAACTGGCTGGTGTTATTTCCACATTATTATCCCTCTATTTGTTCAAACACATGTGTTTAAAGGAAAGGGTTCCATTAAATCAGAGAATCTCAATTTAGTAATAAAGGTATGTGTACATGTCTAACAATAAAACTGCTGCATGTTGTTGACTTATGCAAATCAACCAGTTCTGTTCTGCCTTGGTTGACTTTCTTCTATAAATAAAGGTCATAACAGAAGAATTAGATAGTCTTCATACAATTCTTAAAGGAATGTGAACTTTCAGATCAGCGTGCAGATTGAACCAATTTTTGATTGACATTTTTCATTCTTTCTTCCAGGTGTGGTATAACCAAAAAGGTTTCCATTCGCTGCCATCCTACTTAAATGAACTCAATAACTTCCTTCTGTGGCTGAATTTACCTTCTAATGTGGATTGGAGACAGTATGGTAATATTCTTTGTATTTATTCATATGTTTTGGAAAGTAGTTTTTAAATAAACTATAATAAGTATGAAAATTTTTTGGTTTACAGTAGGATTTCAGAGTTCCATTTCTCCAGAGGACTGAAAAGTGACGAACATTTTAATTACAAAGAAAGGTTGTTTTTTTTTTCTGGAGAATATAGTACACAGTAAGGTAAAATTTGAATTTAAAGCTCAACATATATGAGTTCCTTACAAAGACATTCCTGTGGAATAAGTAAGTGTAAATTGGTTTGGAATGTTAGTCCCTCTGAAACTGCTGCTTGGGCTTACTTAAATGGCATGACTAAGGCACAACAGACTATGGATTTATAACTCCTTTGGCACTTTGCTATATCTCCTTATATAAATATCCAGGGTAAATCCAGAATGGCCTGTAAATCCACAGAGCAGTGTGATGTTTCATAGCATCCTGTTACTCAAGGAACAGGAAAGGCTGCTGTATATTATAATTGTACAAAACAAAAGAGCAATTAATATCTGACATGTGAATTCTCTGATTCATATATCCTGAACTTTATAAAAATTTGTTAAAGTAAGAATTTTATGAATAGATATCTAAAAGGAATTGATATCTAAAAATACCTAGATGAATAGATATCTAAAGAAATGACTGCTGCCAAAGACTCAGCTGTTAACAAAGATGAACTTTAGGATGTGCAAATCCAGTTTGAAATCTGGGCTTGATTAACTTCACAAGTTCATGTTAACTTCTATTAATTCCAGTTCCTTTCATTCTTAAAAATTCTGTTAAATAGGAATTTGGTTTAGGGAAATTTAAAAAGAGCTTTTGACCAATTTTTAAGAGTTCTTGTAAAGTCAGGATGATTTTCTGTAATGGTAAAATGATTTTAAGTGTTTTTATAATGAAGAAAGACTAAATCAGTGAAAATGGGGAAGGAAACCAGAGAATCTAAAACCAGAGATTCATTAAGAAAACTTTCTGGCATGTCCAAGAAAAAAGAGTAATGGCTTGTTTTCAGGATGGCTGGGGTTTCATTTCTCTAAATGAATTATGAGAAAGGATCAAAAGTAATGTGTTTACACAAGAACTTTGAATGAAGTGAAATCAGATGTTTGAACAAGAATTTTTAATAGAAATCAATTTAAAATCAACTTTCCCTGCACTTCATGCGTCTGACTGATGCTAGCTTTTTTTTCTATACCATTAGATATCTCATTCTGGAATGTAAATGTTTGTGTACCCTTACTTTTGTATCTATCATGGAGAATCAGGGTTTACTGTCACTCAGAGAAAATGACAGCTATCCCAAAGATTTTGGGAATTATTTATTTTTTGATATTGCATGACACAGAAATGCAGCAAGCATAACAGTGCTTAAGAAATACTTCAAGTCTGGTACTGACATCTGTATGAGTATGGGTTCATTGTACAATCTTGTGGCAGAATCTGTTAGCTGCCTGCAGAAGTAGAGCTAAAGAACTAGAAAGTTATTTATTTGTTTATTTGTTTGTTTGTTTATGTATTGGAGAAGTACAATGAAGATGGACTGATCATGTTCTTGATGCATAATGCAGAGGGAACTGTGATAGAAATCTTGGGAAGATAGGTCAAGTTACCTACCTAGATGCCTGTGTATATATATATATTTGTTCATGTACTCATGGTTTTGTGTGTGTGCACACATATATATATATGTGTATTGTTTGTGGAAACCAATATATATGTATATTTTATTTCTACAAAACAGTTTTCCAGTGCTGTATGGGCCATTTGAACTCAGTTCACTTTGACTTTTAACTTTCTCTTATTTAAGGATACTGTTCTAACAGAGAAGAACTATTCATATGCTTTTGTTATTCAAATTGTTACATACAGTCCTGTAAGTCAGTAGCCAGAAGACCTCACACTGTGTTCTGACACTGAAATCTATTATTTTTGATTTTTTTTCCTTCTTCTAAACTCTGTTTATAGGCAAGGTCAGTTCTAGAATATTGCTGGAAATTGCTGTGAGGAAGTTTGTTAAGATGTTGCAGAGACATGGCTTTGTAGTTGTGCCTTGCATTAATGACATGTTATTTCACAGAACAACTTTTTTCTAACAGAACCAGCGCTTCTGTACTACTTTTAAGTGACATAAAAATAATTTGGTGCTTTAAAAGGGACTGTAAGAACAAACACTTTTCTTCCTTCACAAAAAAAAAGCTTTACAGAAAGAAGCTTACTACAATGGAATAGAGCATTGCCATGGGTGTAAACAATAGCAGCAACTATGATATTGAAACTACCTTGAGCGAGGCCAACAAGATCAACCACTTGTTTAAGTGCTCATACAAAGCTAAGAAACCCTTTCACTTTGCAGTGATATCCTATGTGTATTTCTTGAACATGAACCCAGTAGGAGTTCTCCCGAGATCTTTGGAGGAGGGAAGAGTCATTACAGACCACATGCTGAGTTCTACCTGCTTTGCCCAAGAGGACAGATCCGGTAATTTTCAGTGGAGATCAGTAGCACTAGTCCAAGTTTGTGAGAGGTTTTGATAAAAAGCATCTGAGCAGGAGGCTAATTGCTTTTGTCTAAAGTATTTTCTGCAGTCATGAGGATACATAGAATATAGACTTATGATTTAGAATGAAAGTTTAAAGGAAAAAAATTTACCCAAGAGTATAGAGGACATATGCTGCCTTGCACTGGTTTATATCTCTAGGGATTAATATCTGTTAAAAAAGCTTTGAAAAGAATTGATTATTACTTTTTGTTCTGTCAGTCCAAGTTACTGAGTCTTCAGCATGCAGCAGCAGGAAATTATATCTGTTCAGTGATTAAAAAATCAGTCCTTTTTGCTATTGTATAATCTGATCTTCAAATACTTTCTCTGCAAGTAGAGAGATTTCTCCTCATCCCTGTCTCTTAACAATTTGGGATTGTTGGTAAATTTCTCAGTGAGGATGAGACTTCTCAGAAGTCACAATGTTTGTTTCTTGCAATTTTCATGTAAATAGTGATGTGTCTGTTGAAGAAAATGTGTCTGCCGAGCTGGAGGTGCACGTAACTAGATGGAGCGACAGAAATTGGCCTGATCAGTTTATGTCAGTTTATTGTAGTAAATGGATCAGATGTCTCTTTTGAAACAGCAGTTCAGTAATACTTCTTGTATAAAAAAATATGTCAATTCCTCTGTCATGTGGATATCCACCCCTACCTTTATCATCAGGTAAGTCTGTGATCCCATTGTGGAAAAAGTCATCTGTCTCAACTGTGGAGGAAATCAAATGCAGTCTGTTTTCTAGAGGGTTATAAATTCAGTGGCAGGTGATGAAAATGAACATGTTAGTAAATGAATTTTTAAAAAGTTACTAAGACACTTCAACAACAAAAGTAAGATATGCAGGATTTTTGTCCAAGCCCTTCACCTCTGACTGGTATTCAAGCTTATATGAATGATGTTTTCTAATATTTTTTCTGAAATGCTGCACTCTTGCAACTAAGTAATGTAATTGTGTGCAGATAAAAATGCAATAATGAAGTAAGAAGAATACAAAACTAAAAGGCAATATTTTTTGCTTAAGCTTAAGATAGAAATTTTGATCAAGTAAAAATGTTATTTTTCACACCTAATTGTATAATCTTGAGTCAGAATGTGGTTATTATGCTGGAGTATAGGAGAAGGAGTATAATCTCATTCTTAGGGTAAGGCTATATAAAGAAAAAAGGAGTGGTTGTCATCTATAATTTTGTCTGCAAGTAGAGTGGTCAAAAAAAAGTTCTTACATCATTGCTCAAAGAACAAAAATGTCTCAATATAGAAGGGCCTTTTGCAATGCAGCTGCCCCATTTTAGGATCCATACTGAAGTCATTGATTTTTTAAAAAAGCTTTCATACTAGGATTCATTGTAGCTTTCATGTAGCATCCTCATTTATTTCAGATTCAGTTCTTCAAAAGACCAGAAGGGATCAAGGGAGTAATTTTCAGCTGAATTTTAGTGGAAAGTGGATGTATAGTTTCCTGAATGCTTTGCAAATTATAACTTTAAACCTTATTACAAAGGAAACTGTGAAATGTCCTTTGGGTGGAACCTTTTTACCCATGTCTAGTTAGTGGGGGGAAACTAAAATAGAAACCATTAATGATGGTGCTGCCTGTGAAATTATGCATACAATATAATTTTCAGTTAATAGTAATGTCTCACAATGTCTCATTTTACATAAATGGAAATATATATATGTATATATATGTGTATATATGTATATATATGTACTACCTCAATTTTTCTTATACATAATATTTTATTTGGTCTGAAATGAAATGTCTTGAATAAAGAAAGCTAGATTGGTCTTCTGTTCAAGTCTGCCACAATCATGGTATTTAGAATCAGTAGCACAGATCTAAACTGATCTATGTATGCATGATTCAACTTGACATTACAGACAGTTTACAAAGAAGTGACAAGAGACACATCCAAAATATGGTGCGGAACCAGAAAATATACCTAGGGACAACTCTGACTAATCTATGGTGATGACATACAAGCTTGAAGACCTTTAAGATTTTTTCATCTAGATTTCTCCAACTGATACTGAAAAAGTGTTGCTGCGTTCATATCACTTTCCTAATTTTTGCTGAAAAACCACAGATTTTGAAGTGTGTTTATGCAGAAAGTTGCACCCAGGTGGGATGGACTGGACTATGCATGTCTTCTGTTTATCATGTTCAGGATGGAAACATCCAACTCTCTAAAGTTATGCCAAATTGTGTGTGCCTTTATTTTCTGACAGAGAGTCAAGTGGTGTAGATGTGAGGTAAAAAGATCTAGAGCACTTTCTCTTGAAGGCACAGATTGAAGACTATTAGTAAGATGTTGGTATAGGTTGAAGGTGTCCTAAGCAGTGCAGCTCCTGAATGGCAACAGGGCAGGATGCAGAATGTTCACAGCAAGCCTGTCTAATGTGGATTAATTTTCCTTTCTCCTGTGAGCTTTCCTATCCCAAATGAAGAAGTATAGCATTTTATTGTACAAAATGTTACAATCCTTCTAATATTTTATGAAGAATTAATTTTATTACGTTAGTAATGGCTTTTTAACAAATTAGAATCTAAAATTTGTTTAATCAAAACAATGCAAGGAAAGGAGGAGGATAGTTCCACCTGGAAGAGAGAATATAAAAGGGAAATCATAGAGAAGCTGAAGGGATACAATGAATAGTATACTGCTTCTTCTACTATTAAGCATTTAGCATGGGGTTCCTAGTGTAGTTTTCAAAGTAAATAGATTCTCCTGCCTAGGCCCCAGCTGTGCTACTGCTGAAATGTATAGTTAAACTGTAAAGCTCTGACTACTTCCCACCTCTTTTTTCCATAGTAATGTGACTTGCAGGACTGATAAAAATGCACTTGCTCTCAGTTGTATTAAAAAACCCCAATGTTTTAATCAAGCAATACAAGAGATGACAACTGAGCCCTTTAAATTAATGAAAGACAAAAATGAGGAAAAAAAAAAAAGACACACCAAAAATGGAGTGAACTAAAGGCAAAACAACAGAGAAAAGAAAGAAACAGAAGCTTCATAGCTGAAAAAAAGCTGAGAAAATATATTCCTACTCCTGAATTGCTTTTGTGTGGTTTTGGAAAAGTTGGAATGCTTGTCTGTTACAATTTTTCACCTCTGCCCATTAAAAAGCTTAAGAGAGCACTGTAAAAAGAATGTGATCAACTGCATTCTGAAGACATAGACAAAGGATGTTTTAGGATAATAAAGAAAGTTTTTGTTGTGATTAAGTCAGGAGAATGTAATGGTAATCTGCAGATATGGAAGAAATAGTTTTTATACTGAGAAATTTATGAAAAGGAGCAGACAGAGTTAGTGCTGAGTCATATCATGTTTGGTGTTATTGCCTGGCTTGCTTTTCCCTTATGATTACTGATATGGTAAAATTTGCCCTGAGGGCTGTTCACACAAGGCTTGCAAGTACAGTCCTTAAAAAAATCCTTGCATGAACACCAGAAGCATCTGTTTAATTGGAGCTTTATAATTTAGAACTTCTTAGTTTATCTGTCATTTATAGTTTTTAAGTCCCCAAACATGGCAGAGAGTTTTCAACTTAATGAGTCTCATTATAGCAGCTTTGCATAGTAAAAAGGCATATAAAGGCAAGAAAGTATCAATAAATACATTTTACATCATTTTAACAACTGTAGTGGGACAGAGATATGTGTAAAAAAAGATGGTCTAGGTGGTTAGAAGAAATGTAGGAAGGGATAGATTATAGAAGTACATGGAAGAGTTTAAAAAAAAATATATATACTAGCAAATACCATATATTAATTCTGCTGGTTTTTGTGGTATTTGAAGATAATTTATAACATTTATTGAGTTCAATGGAACTTTATTCCTCTGTGAATTACAGGCCAGTTGGTTTGCTCTATCCAAAAATCATCTAATTTTTGACAATGGGATGAAGAAAATATTATACTAAAAAGGTAGCAAATTCAGAGATTGTCATGCCCCAGACTATATTGAAGAGACTTAATATACTGAATGAAAGGCAAGTATTACATTTAATGAAATGGTAGAATTTTGAAATCTAAACACAACTGAACTTAGTTTAGCACAGTCATACTTTTCTTACTTGTAATTCACAACTTTGTGAAATTTAATTTCAGTTGTGAGTGTAAACTAAAAGAAGATATAATCCTTTGTTTCATCTACACGATTTGAATAGAAATTGACTGTCAAAAATGTTTATTACTCCTAAGATGTGTGATTAGTTTTTGTGACTATTCCATAGAAGGAAGTTAATTCCGTGTAACTTTGACTTGTGATTGGTATTGTATGATACAATACTGCAAGGAGCATTGTACTATTTAATGTCATAGGTTTTTATTTTCCCCTGCAATTATCTCTTTTTCACAGTTTCCCTTTATTCTGTAAGTTAATAGAAAAGAAAGTTAAAGCAGTGCATGGAACCCAAGTCAACTGCTGTAGATTTCTGTTTAATACCAATGCAGCAACCTGAAAGTTCCCCCCGAGATCTTGCTGCCAGGCAAGGAAGGGAATTGTCCTGCTCTGCTCTGCACTGGAGTGGCCTCACCTTGAGAACTGTATACAGTTTTGGGTCCCACAATACAAAAAAACTGCCAAAATATTAAGCTATTAGAGAGCACCCAAATGAGGGCCACAAGGATAGTGAAGGGCTTGGAGGAGAAGTGTCATGAGGTCACTTGGTTTGCTCAGCCTGGAGAAGAGGAAATTGAAGAGAGACCTGATTGCAGTTTCCAGCATACTGACAAGGGGAAGTGGAAAGGCAGGTACTGATCCTGTCACGTTTGTGACCAGTGACAGGACTCGAGGAACTGCCTGAAGTTCACCCAGGAGATATCCTAAAGGAAAAGAAGGTGGATGGGTGCTGGAACATGCTCCCCAGGGAAGTGATCACAGCACCAGCCTGAGAGTTCAAGAAGTGTTTGGACAATGCTCTCAGGACCATGGTGTGACTCTTGGGGTGTCCTGTGTAGGGTCAGAAGTTGGATCTGATGATCCTGGTGTGTCCCATCCAACTCTGCATATTATTCTATGATTATTTCTTCTAATATGCCCACTTTAGTTCAAGCATTAGAAAAGCCTAGAAAAAATTTTCTGGAAACTAAACTAAACTTTTTTCTGTCATGCTACTTATTCTTTACATAAATGGAAATTCCATGGTTCCAGTGGGGAAAAAAAAGTTTTCTTTGATATGCCTGTTTTGCTTCAGAAAAAATAGCAGCAATTGTTTAAAAAATTAATGCTTTAAAAGAAAAACAAAGGAAAATTTATAACAGTCCCTGAAGGCACATGACATGAAAGACTTCTACAAATAGCAAGGTATCTACTAGTGATACATCAAAACATTATTGGCTTGAATCTTCTTTTGTTTTTCTAACTACCATTGGGCTTCAGTGTACTGCGTTTAGTTGTTATTTCAAAAATCTTTACCTTGTATAAGTTTTGTGTGTGAGTTAATCATCATCCTGTTTTTCAGCTTTTTACCATGCAGTGACTTAGTGATGTTTAGATGACTTTGGCTTGAAGATGAGGAATGAAAAATTAAAGGGGGAAAAAATTAAAGGCAAAATAAATTCCTCTTTAGTCAAATGGCACCTGTTACTAGAATGAAGACTTTTTTGTCTTTTTACAGCTGGGCTTTAACAAATTCAATTAAGTGGTGCCCCACAGAGTCAATCTAAGGCTATCAACAATTTATATATTTACCAAAGATACTAGAAAAATTATAATTGCTGTTAGGATTAAGTTTGTTTCTTTGTTTTAATTTGGAACAGCATAGCTTTATTTAGACACATCAAATAATGCTGATGTTGTGGTTTAACTTAAGGCCCACTCACACAACCATTTCCTCAGTCTCCCCCAGTGGCATGTGAAAGAGAACATTAGCAGTGATAAAACTCATGGGTTGAGATAAAGACAGTTTAATATGTAGAAAAAAAGCCACACACATAGGCAAAGCAAAGCAAGGATTCATTCACCCTTTCCTGTGGGCAGGAGGGTGTTCAGCCATTCCCAGGAGAGCAGGGCCCCATCATGGCTAAGACTGACTTAGGAAGGCAAATGTCATCACTCCAAACATCCCTCCCATTCCTCATTCTTCCCTCATGTTACAGGCTGAGCATGATGCCATAGAGTATGGAATGTCCCTTTGGTCAGTCAGGTCAGCTGTCCCACCGGGACCCTCCCAACTCCCCGTGCCCCCCCTACTCTCCTTACTGCTGGAGTAGGGGAGGAGCAGAAAATATCTCGGCTCCAAGTGCTGCTCAGCAATAGCAGCACAAACATCCCTGTGTTATCTCATTTTTTCCAGCACAAATCCAAAACCCCCATATCAGCTCCTGTGAAGAAGATGAATTCCATCCGGCATAGAACCAGTGCAGCTGGCACATCTGTCAGGCACACCTGGACAGATAAGTTGCCAACAGCATCAAGTCCAGTGGAACAGCAACTTTTGCAGTGACAATGTTTTGCACCTTCACCTTCCCACAATTTTTCTTTTGTTTTAAAAGAAATGAAGCAAAAGGACACAGTTTTTGTTCATAAACTACCTTCCAGTTCCAAAGTTAATTTTGCTATGTTGGTACATGTTGGTTGAACCAAGAACCAAAATAAGCCTACAGATTCATTGCCTGCCTAAGATTTTTCTTGGTCTCCCAAACTAAGCACGTTTTTAATGTAGAACTCCACAGTTTAAACCAAAGGTGTGATTTTTTTTTTTCTTTTGTGAATTTAACTAAACAGTTTTTCTCCACAAAACATCAGTAATCTAAAAATTGCTGAAAGATCTACTATAAAATCTAAACCAAGTGTATAAATTGCAGTAACAATCTACCTTACCCCAGAAGATTAGGTATATGAACAAATTCTACTTTAGGTTTTGCATTTAGTCTCTTCTGAGATGTAGGTTCTGTAGTGATATACTGCATTGTTGAATCAATTTTTGAACATCAGAACACAGAAAAGCAACTACTACTTGTGTTTAGTTTCATTAGTTTTTAGTGGTTCCAGACTCTGGAAATCACTTAATGGGAGACAATGTTTGGTTTTGCAGACTGGTATTTGACCTCTTTCTGTTGATTACCAAGTATTTAGCCTTTTTATTCATACATATAACAAGTGTTAACCATGTACTCCAGAACTTGAAGTCCTTAATAAGATTTAATATGTCACGATTTATTTTTCTTTTCACAGGGATAACACTCTACAGCCAACCATATGGAGGAGCCTTGTTGGACGAGGACAAAATGTGAGCAAATTCTTAAAATGTTTCACTGCAGCAATCAGCAGGCAATTGAAACTATCAATTAAATAAGGATATATATTTCCTGGAGTAGATGCTGTGAATTGGTAGACACAATTCAGTTCTACTGAGTGAAGCATTTTTTTAGTGTGGTCTGTCTGTAAAGTCCACTGTTTATACCAAAAATAGTTGCAGTATTTTGTAAAGAAAAATACTGAATTTATGCTGATTGTGTCATAACAGTTTTAAACAGGGTAACTGTTTCAAATGATTTCGAGGGTTTAAATTTCAGTTTTCTGTAAAGGTGAAATATTTGCATAAACTTCACTTTACAACTCAGACACATGCTGTGCTTTGTAACTCACATCTAGTTTTGTAACTTAACACATCTTACTCCTGTTCTTTAATTAGATGTTGACAGTGAAGAGACATTGTGTCCCTGCTCATTGCAGGGTGTTGGAACTAGACTGTTTTTAAGGTCCCTTCCAACCCAAACCATTCTGTGATTCTGGGGTGATTGCAATCAGAATAAAGGTCCTAATGTCTAGTGTTTTGGTGAGGGGCTGGCCTGCATTTAAGGGGTTTTTCCCCTTTGTGTTTTCATTGCACTATTTTACTTTTTACCCTAGAATGGAGAATGTTCGTCAGTGTGGGGTAGCACTGTGTATCATGCTGGGATTCTCCATCCTTACTGCATCCATTGGAACTACCATAGTGAAGGACAGAGTATCTGGGACAAAACGCTTGCAACACATCACAGGCCTGGGTTACAAAACTTACTGGCTTGCTAACTTCTGCTATGATATGGTATGTATTATGTGAGGCAGCATGTGCTCAGGTGGACATTTAAAGCTAGTTTCTTATAAATGAGTAAACGGAAATATGGTCACACGATAATGAATAAAATTTGAATTGCGCAGTGACAGCTCTTGGCTGACATGCTAACAAACATTAAGTCACCATTCCTATTTTAATGCAGGGTGGGGATTGTGTTCTTGCTTCCCAAAGTTGCATTGTAAATTATTTGCTATCTTTAGCTATATACACTATTTTACACAAAAAAGAAAGTAGTCTAATCAGCCTAGACAGAAAGAATCTTCTACACAGCAGCTCACACCAGGAATTTCTATGCTTTGAATTTTGCCATGCACTGGCAAAACCTTAGAAATTAGTGGAGAAAACTGAAAATACTAGTCAGCTGCTTTAAGGGATAATTATGTTATGTGTTTTTGTGGATAATATGAGAGATACTTATGATTGGTACCTTTTATTTGTGTCAAAACCTGGAAGAGGCAGCTCAAGCAAGTGGTGGAGTCACCATCACTGGAGGTATTTAAATGCCATATAGATATGGCACTGAGTGACATGGTTTAGTGGTGGACTTGGCGGTACTGGATTAATGGGTGGACCTGATGTTCTTAAGGTCCTTTCCAACATTTAGGTTGGATTCTATGACACCCTGGTCAGGAACAGAAATTTTGGAACACTCTGTTTTCATTTAGACCATTCTAATTCTGAAACATTAGATCTTCACCCATCCATGCTTGAAATCAGAATTTTCACACTTGAGCAATCTTGAGGTAAGAGCACATTTTTCCAAATGTTATTTACTTGGCCAGTCAATCTTGGCATTTCTTTTTGCTGCTGCTTCAGATAAGAAGGCTTGGTTAAAAACAGTCCTTCATCATTCGGTTTCTCCTTGTGAGCAAAGTCAACTCCTCATTATTTTCTGCCAATCTCTCAAAATGTTCTCACAAATTCAACACAGTACTACATGATCAATCATGATGTGGGAAAGAATAGACACTGCTTTAAATGCTAATTGTGCTACAGATCATTTAGGGACACTGAACACATGAATATATGAACTGTCAAATTTTAAATCCCTCTACATATTTTAAATATTACAGGCTGTGTCCTGCATTACTGGTAGCAGAATCTTTACTAGGCCTGCAGAAGTGTTTGATTTATGAAATTGCTCTCATGAGAATCAGGCTGTTCTTACTGTATTTATAGGTATGAATGATATTCATTATTATGTTCCACAAATGGAAAAAATGTAAGTGCTTGGAAAATTTAAAGAGAAATAAAGACATTTTGTTCAGATTAAGCTTGTGTCCCTAAAGGGGAAAAATTAAATCTGTTTTGTTGTACATGCACAACTTCTGTAATATACCATGATTTCAGGGTAAGATTTCCAATACAATTTGATTTTTTAAGTTATTGATTTATTTCTAGACAGAAGCCCCAGGTCTGTTGAAAAATACTGGGACTCAAATGCATTGTGACTTCTCTAAAATATTTTTAAACAGCTTCAAGATAACTGAAACATATATTTATGGGTGGTATGTTATGATACTTGTATATGGCAAAGAAAAGGTACACTGTGAATGAGAACATTGCATCCATCCACATTTTACTCCATTGCCCTTCTCTTAAAAAAAAAAAGTATGTTTTCCCAGTAGCAAAGATGTGATGGCCTCTGGTTTAACTTGGAACAGGTTTTCACTGTGCTTCAGTATGAAAGTCTAATTTTGACGGTATGTTGTTCTTCTACACTGAATATTTAGCTCAACATTGATTTGTTGCCTCTATTGCAGTTGTATCTCAGAATCTCAGTTCTGTTAGGTTACAGCTATAAAGCTAAATATGACATAAACAGAAATGGAGGCAGTCAGCACCTAGTGAGCTCAGGTTCAGTGCACAGAGCAGGCAGACACTGAAAATGGAGCTGAGCAAAGGTCTTCACATCCTGACGTGGCTATTTACAAGCAGAACGCCTCTCTCTTGAATACTTGGATATGAATCTCCTGTACCAATCCCACCTTGCTGCCCTCAAGTATTGCTTGCCAGTATGTCAAGAGACTAAAGAGAGAAATTGCTTTCCCTGTTGCCTAATGACTGTAATGCTTTTACATGTTTTTAACATTCCCAATAAAAGATGTAATTTGCTTCATCAGCACACATGGTCCTTCATTAAAATCTTTTTAAAAATTACATCATTATTATTCTCCCACATGAATGCAGCTCCAATCAGTGAAACTGCTGTTTCTAAAACCAAGCCTCTGTATTCACAGTGTAATTTGATATTTTGGAGCAATGGCCCCACATGGACTCATTATCTGGAAGAGTTGGCTTGTTAAATGGATGTATTGGAAAGGTCAATAAAAATAGGATTAAGGGGGATATTCTGTAGTCAGGTTTTATCTTGTCAGTTTGTTTCGTGTGTAAGGGGCAGTTTCACAGCAAGTGCAGACTATCAAATCTCCAAGCTCTTCTGCCTATTTCCTGCTAACTTGTAGTATAATTGTATTGAGAGTATGGAGAAGTTAATTTGTAAAACCCTTCTATACAATTTACATAAGACCAGTAAGAGATGCTCACCTGCTCAATTTTTTTCCCTTTTGTTTCTAGCTGCTTTACATGGTTCCAGTCACCCTTTGTGTTGGTGTTATTAGTGCCTTCCAGCTATCAGCCTTCACTTTCCGAAAGAACTTGGCAGCCACTGTTCTCCTGCTGATACTCTTTGGGTATGTGATTGGAAATGCTACTATGGAATTACAGCTTCCAAGAAACAAACATAAATCTTTAGATGTACTTTGCACCTGCTGCTGGATGCATGGTTTTCTGTCTTTGTAACCAATTATGATTCAGCAAAGCATAGTGAGAAAACAGGCTGAAACGTGAGTTTGAAAATTAAACACAAAAAGTGGAGGGAGATTTACTCACACATTAAAATAAAAGGAGTGCAAACATCTTAGAAGATACTCAGCCTGTATAACAGTAGTTTACTGTTAGAAATTGATTGTTATCTTTCAGAAAATGAGGGAATATTAACATAGGTGCAGAATATCATCAAGAAGTTAAGAAGCAGCTTTAATTACAGCTTTAACCATTTTCTGTAGTTCAGCATAGGAGTTTATATTTCCAATGAGAAGTCTGTCCATTGAAGTGGTGTGGATGGAAATTTGTCTCACAATAGTACTGTGAGAGGGAAAGTTCTACCATGTTCTCTTGCTTAGCTTCACATGAAAAACAACAGCAACAAACAAACTAACCCAAAAAAGCCCACGAAGCAAAACCAACAAAAAACCAACCAAACAAAAAAACCCCAGCCAACCAAACAAAAAACTTCCAAGCAACAAAAGAAAAAAACCAACCCAACCAAAAAGCAATCCTGTAATAGAAGGTTTAAATAACTGGTGCAATAAAGGATCTCTATAAAAGTAAGTCTGTTCAGCCCTGGGATCAATTATATTAATAGTGTTTTCTGTCATGTCCCTTGAGGGGCAGAATTGAAGTTGTTTTGCTGTACATGTACAGCTTTTGTAATACACCATGATTTCAGGGTAAGATTTGTGATAGAATTTAATTTTGAAGTTATTTATTTATATAAAGACAGAAGCCCCAGGTCTGTTGAAACATACTGGGACTCAATTCATAGTGGGAGTCATAACTCTTCCCATGTGCTGTCTAAGGTGATGTTAGAAATGCTGAAGATGAATTGTTAAAGGAAAAGGCTTCTGAGAATTTTATTACTTATTTCAAGCAACTAATTGTTGCTACCCTTGTAGGGGAGAGTGCATATCTTACAAGACAGATATTTAAATAATGAAATATAGGTACTTAATGAGAGAATGGTAGGCAAAGAAAGAAGAAAGGACCTTCTACAAGATCAGAACATGTTCTATTCCAGGAAGAGTTTCAGATAAGCCTTCAAAAAACTCCCCAATTTACTATATTGCTCCTTGAAAACTGTTTTCAAGGTTTTGTGCCTCCAGCAACTCATTTTTTAGAACCTGTTTAGGTATCCTCAAATTTGGATTTTTTCTTGGAAATTCTTGCCTGTTTATTCAGAACCATACTTCATAATTGTCTTTCATCAAATGCTTTTTGCAAGCCAAAACAAGCCAAGTCTTCTCTTGTAAAACCTTCCAAACTCCTTGCATAATTCTATTTATAATTTTTCCTTATAATTCCAGTTTGAACTCCTATTTCCTGGATGTGAATAGCCAAACTAGTATGAAATATTCTAGAGGTCATGATGCTAGGATTTTGTAAATAACTTGTATGAACTATCCAAAGTTTGTAATTTCCTCCTCTCTGTATCTTTCTTGTGTACCACCCTCACTTCCTTTCTTCTGCACTTCCATCAAGTGATTCCTTCAAGTTAAGGGCACAAATTCTAACCAATCTTAGTGCAAAGATTTCACATTGTGAAATCTCACACCTTTTTTATTATCTTTACAACCACTGAATCTTTCTTGTGATCCAGTTGCTGTCATATTAGCGAGGCATAAGCTTCTATAGAAACCCTAGCCCAGCAGCACTTGAAGCACACAGTACAGACCTGTATGTCTACTGAAGTCAGGACAGGGTTTTTCTAGTGTGCTATGGGCTTTGGCCCTGCCCACAGTGAACTGTCAAGTGCCAGTTATGCTGGCATTGTTTTAATCAAAATGTTGAGTTAAACTTGGAATATCTCAGAAAAAAAGTAATTGAATGAAAATGGATCTTATTTTGTTGACTGCAGATGTAGCTTAATCAGCTCAATATAATCCCTCCTGCAGTGTTCAGCTTTGGCTGACATAACAGATGTTGCAGTGATTTTTAACAAGGAAATCTGTGTATTCAATGTGCATTAACATATATTAAAGATCCAGTAGCTGTCTGTAAGTTTAACATGTCTCAAGGACATTGATAAACTTCACAGTTTCCACTCATCCTAATCTACACTTTTTCAGACTAACTACACCATAAATATGATGAAGCCTATTGTGGACATTTTATTCTTACCCAGTACTGTGCATATGATCCTCACTCATCTGCATGCCATCATCATCTGCATTTTTTTCCCTTTAAAAATGTTTTTTTCTCTTCAGGGTACATTGTGAGGATTTTCTGATCTAGAACAAATATAAAAATAGCCCAGTTATACAAAAAAATTAAAGAGAAGAGGGTGTGGTTGAAAGTTGAAGTTTCTTAGTGTGCTACTTTAAAAGTGATTTCCTTTAAAAATAAGACTAAACTACATATTTTTCTCTTTTAGGTGATTGCAGAGCTGTTTTCTAGTCCAAATGCTTAAGCAGTCCAAAATGTTCTGTCTTTTATACTTAGAAAATACTAAACTGCAACTGCAGCTGAAGGAAGAGAAAAAGGCTAGAAATGTAGGTGTAACTGGCCACAACCTTAAAGACTACATTTGAGCATCATATAACTTTAAGGATTCTGAAAGTCTTACTCATTTCTAAGCAAAAAAATTAAAAAAAAAAAATCGAATTTTGCTTTCATTTACAGTGGAGCAACAGCCCTGTAAATCATGTGTCTTTCCTGAGCTGTTTCCAAGGATGGACTTGTATTTATGATATTGTTATTCTGAGAGCAGTGATTTTGGTATGTGCATCAAGGGAAGAAAAGACTACGTGATTAACACTGGCAAAAGGATGCTGAAAAGTATAATGGGATCTTGAATAATTACAATTTCATTTGAGACCCAAACATTGAGTCATTTAACCTTTATCTTTCTGTAAACTGAAGATAACGTTATTATTATTTCCCAGCAGAGTTTGCAAGTTTGGTTTTTAAGGTAAAGGATTTTGGCATTCTCCAATACAAAAGATTCATCTATAAAGTACAGAATACTGAATTCAAAAGGGAATGACTTAGTTTAGTATTCTGAAGTCATTTAGTAAAATGACTTTTATGACTTAGTTTAGTAATCTAAACTACACTTTAAGGCAATGAAGAAGTGAATTCACAGATTTTTGGCTAGTAGCTCTTGCATTGAGCTTACTATTAAACCATTATACTTATTGATATTATACAGGAAGCGTTTATATATACACTGCATATATACTTATTGTTGTACAGTAGTGTATGCTGATACATATGCTCCTGCAGTCTATATACTGCTTGTTTGATAGAAATATCTTTCACTATGTTGAATGGAAAATAAATTTTCTTTACATGGCATGCATGCTCTGATTGCCTGGGCCTTGTTTTAATCTTTATAAATGTCTCCTTATAAATAAAAAGCATTGTGTTCTCCATTCTGGATAGATATCATTTGATTTGTCATAACGGAGGTGCTTTCCTCCTTCCTTTAAAGATTTTCATTGAAGATGATGTAGCCATGGGCAAGCTGTTTTGTCCTCATAGTGTTATGCACTCATTTTTTACAGCTATTGGTCTACTGACAACCTGGTTGAGGTAATAACATGGTCTGTAGGATTTTTCAATTCTCACATATCACTAGCACAAATACTCGTTCCAGTTCAAAAATGATTGTTTTTACTACTTCTTCTTCTCTTTCTTTGCTCACAATCTCCTCCTCCTTCTTCTTTTTTTTTTCTTCTTTATGTGAAAGCCTCTCAGAAAAGATAACTGCTCAGCATCCACAATTTAAGCTTTAAATATTTGGTTTTAATTCTATATGTGTAAGAGGCTTGATAAGTTGCATGGATTTGCAATCATTCAGAAGTCAGGATTGTGGTCTGTCTGGAACAGTTAAAGTAATACCTGCAGCTCAAATAAGCAAAAATGGCTCATGTCTCCATATAACATGGCAGTAAATATGTGTACATCTATGAAAGTATAAGCCAATTTTTTAAAGAATATGTATCCCAAATTTCTCCCTTTTTAAAATCACTTGTTCTAAAGAGTTATTTGCCTGTCTTAAAAATAACTAACAATAATTGTGGGATTTTTCTAGTGTGATAACTGACTTTTTTGCGGTCAAAAGCACAACTTATTTGTGACAGTTTTGTTTCTTTGAACTTTCAGATATGCAACTTTACCTTGGATGTATCTTGCATCCAGATTCTTCTCAAGTTCAGATGTAGCTTTTGTTTCCTACATCTCCTTAAATTTTGTGTTTGGCCTGTGTACCATGCTGGTGACTCTCTTACCTCGCTTGTTAGCTATAATTTCCAAAGTGCAGGTCAGTATCAAGTCTTTGGTTTACCTTTTTCATAACTGAGATGTACACACACACACACATACATGCATATATATATTTGAGAATGTTCATGTGTCTTTTATATATTTATACAGATAAGGTTTTTCCAGAAGAAAAACATACGGTTTTTATATATTCGTGATTTTTCTATATTGACTGTTACCATCTTGAATTTTAACTTGTCTATAACCCAAAAAAGCTTGCTGGAATAATGGAAAAACAGTGTTAATTGAAACTTTGACATTTTCTAGACCATTAAGTTGTAATAGGCACATAATGGGAGCTGTTCTGGTCGATTAAATAGATTATATGCATTGTAAAATGTGTTTGAATAATATTGACATAAGAGATAAGCTGCATATTCCTAGAATCACTAATGCACTGTATGAATAGTAATTTATACATTGCATTCTCACTGCATGTATGTATTTTTAATTAGTCATAACGGTATTTAAACAACTTGATGGAGAGGACTCCCAGACTGGGTATGACTCTCTATTCATGTACAGGTTAAAAACTTGATGTTTAAAGTCAAATCTGTCTAATCTGTCATGCAAGTGTGTAAGCAAATTCGGTACTCACTTGGGTTTAAGTTCGTGATTTAAATTTGATATTATCCAAATTTTGAAATGTTAAGGAAATAGAAGAATTATGGCTACATGTGTTTTGGTACTGTCTATGAACTTCAGCTAAGATTAAAATGCCATGTCTGTAGAAAGTCTAAAATGGAATATTATGTAACCCTGAACCCCAAAATAATTCACAATATGCACTTTAGAATTCAGTTTAGTTTGAGTGAGATTTGAATGAAGTATCCAGTTTTGCAAGTCTGCTCATTAGGCTGTTGGAGGAAACTAATTTTTTCCCCTTTTATCTTTATTCTCCTCCATCCTTCCCATGTCTTAATACAGAGTTTTCAGAACATCTACAATATCCTCAAATGGGTATTCATCATATTCCCACAATTCTGCCTAGGCCAGGGCTTAATAGAGCTTTCATACAATCAGATCAAGTTTGACCTGACCAGGAACTTTGGAATAGATTCTTACGTGAGCCCCTTTGAGATGGATTTCCTGGGCTGGATTTTTGTGGCAATGTCCCTCCAGGGAACACTACTGCTTCTTTTACGTCTTTTCCTTCATTGGGATCTCCTCTGGAAACCAAGGTTTGTTATCATTTGTATTCTGCCACAGTGGGCACTGAACTAATTTTCAGAGACAGAAAATGGTGTGTTCCTTTGAACAATGGAAGATAAATACTTCAGGTAACATAGTGTACCTGAATTAATGCAAACTACAGAAAAAAATATAAGTAGTTGTTTTTCCCTTGAGTTCTGGTGAGAATTGATCACCATGTGCTAAGGGATTGCAACCAGGAAAAGGAGTTATGTAGAGCACAGCAAATTATGACCAATTTTCCATGTATCACTTTGTATCATCCTCTGTTGTAGGGGTCATTGTTCAGTTAGCAGCACAGACAGCCCTGCAGAAGATGTTGATGTAGAAATGGAGCGACAGAGACTCTTTGATGGAAGAACTGGTAATGATGTCCTACTTCTGTACAACCTCAGGAAGTGTTATGGAGGTTTCAGTAAGAAGAACACAGCTGTGGAAAGCATAAGCTTGGGCATACCAAGGGGAGAGGTAAAGGAGTCTTTCTTTTTCCCATTTTATAAAGTAACACTTTATGCTGAGCAATTGTTGAGACATACTCAGTGTGTCTACAGTGAAAGGCCTGTAGACAGCGGCATAAAAAATTCAGTTGTAGTAATTTCTGAAAATCAATAATTAGATAAAAGAAGAAACTCTGGCGGTGCTGAAGAAGCAACTGCTCATTTATTTTTTTTGTTAAACATTCATCAGTCTTAATTTTTTTTTTTACTTCTTGCTTATCTATACCAAATTACTCTTTTTTAGGCTAACATAAAAAGTAAGTAAAGTAGCATAGCAGTTTAGCATTCAAAGAGAAAACAGAATACCCAACTCAATAGCAAACTATGGACTGCATCCTGAATTTGTTACCACAGCATGTTTTTGGTTCCCATGCTGAAATCATCACAGTACATTTGACTGTAGCATATACAAATAAACTACTTCAATAAATCAAGATTTAGTGCTGAGCATGTTTGTGTTTGGGGGCTTTATTAATTATTTGGATGGTTTGGGGAATTACAGGTATTAATTTCTAAACTACTGAGAAAGAAAATACTTATCTTGATTGCTAATATAAAATTGGAGGAAATTGGAAGATCATCTTGCACATGGCAGCACAGGTGCAGTGATATTCCTGCTACTCACAGCTGTTGGGTAACTGAGGTAACCAGGAGGATGTTATTGTTGATTAAAGCCTATAAATCAATAAGAAAGTTCATGAAAAAAGTATTTAGAAATCATAAAGGGCTATTTGTAGACTTAATATGGATCCTATCCTAGCTTAAGCATTAAGCTATTGCAGCTAGGGGTCTGAAAAAAGTGTTCAAAATGAGTGTGCCTTTGGTGCTCACTCTGTAATGAAGCAGCTCATGACAGGCTTGGAAATATTCACTCTGTGGACTGATATCCAGGGTTTGGGAGAAGGACCTAAAATCTCCCTGTTCAAATGTTCAATTAGCATTTGCTAATAATATGGATAAATAATAAGTTTGATTGTTGGGCAGGGTTTTAAGAGGATGGCTAGAATCCTAAATAAGTCACTTCTGGTACTTAGGGGGCAATCAAAATATTATACATATGGGGCTTTTTAAAATTGATTCTCTGTGGGAAAGGGAATTTGCACACGCATTATATCAATTTATAGTTTCTTACAGATATATAATGGGAAATGTGGAAAGGGGAAAAGTTTGAAGGGGTGATATTTCTTATTTTTTCAGTATAGCATATTGATTTTTTTTTCCAATATCTCTGATAGTGTTTTGGACTCCTGGGAACAAATGGAGCTGGGAAAAGCACAACATTTAAGATGCTGACTGGAGATATCATCCCATCTGCAGGACGTGCTGTTATCAGGACTCCTACTGGGTAAATAACATGGGGTTTGATCAGAATAGTGCTAATTGATAATGCACATGATCAAAGACTCAGCATGTCTTCAGTCCTTTATACTGTACTCTAGGGACCTGTTTTGTTCCCTTTTAAATGTATATTGCTTTGTTGCTGTTAAGTCTCTGTGGAAAAGCTTTTTAGCATTATTTAATTCTGTTTGGCAGCTCTGTTAATTGAGAATAAACTTGTCTGGTAGCAAAAGAGAAACTCTAAGAAGACTTAATATATATCCTTTTAAAACTTTTAAAAGAATCCTAACGCAGGTTAAAATGCATGGACATGTATCTCCCTACAAGTTCTGCACTGAGAGTGTTCCAGGCTTAGGTGTGTGAGCAGTGCTTCAAGTGGGTAATTTGAAAATATTTTCTTACACTAATGTACTTCTGAGTAATGTATTAATTACTTGATCAATATTCTATATATAAGGATAAGAGGTAGTGTTTGTCAGATTTATCATTCTGTTGAACTGATAAATGAATAATGGACTTTGGGTTAGATGTAAGCAATAATTTTCATTTTTCCCAGAAAAATTGGAGGGGAAAGAAAGTTATATTTTTCAGTCAGTAGTAAATATGTATATACACTTAGGTAAATTGCTTTTGGGCTCTTTTCCTAATTGATCTACATTTCAAAATATTTTCTGGACAAGGACAAGTCAAGAGTTTCATTAAGAAATTTTTAAAGGAAACATTTTTGAATTTTCAAAATGGCAAGTTACATTTCTTTGGTTTAGAAATGAAATGCTTTCATAGGTCAGTGCTTCCTTACTTCTTTACAAAGATAATGATCATCAGATCTAACTTCAAAGGTAAGTAGATTCAGTCATTGCAAAATTCAGTTTTCTGGAAAATTTGCAGTTTTGAAATGGACAATATCACCAATAACAAACATAATTTTGCTTCAAGATGTTTTCTCATTATCTTTCATAGCAAATCATAAAAAACGTTGATCATAAAGCAGAAATTATTTTTTAAAACATATTAAAAAAACAGATTTTAGAAAAATTATTCTTAAGTGAAGTGGTGTGAGTGAGGCTTTAAAATGGTTGGAGAGATTTTTAGATAGTTGTTTTCACTCATAATTTTCCAGACTTTTTTTAAAAAATAGTTTTCTGTCTTAAACAAAAGACAAATTTTTTCAGATATTGATCAAAATTAAAAATTACAGAAGTGATTTAAAATTAGATAAAAATCAACATTTGTTATTTTTTGAAACTGATGGATGGCATTGTACATCCTGGTACAGGATAATGATGGAAGTCAGAAGTTTATAGTATGAGTCTGAAGAAGATTTGAAATTTAGAAAGATAAAATTATCTGTAATATATTTTTTAAAAATAAAATATTGCCTTTAGGACATCAGAACATTTAAGCTCCTATGTTTTGCTTTGATTCCGAGCAGTATTTTGCTGTGGATTTTAATGGGACTTGTCTTGGGTCTCACCTGTGCATTCATGGATTACATATGACTATCCCTGTGCAATGTTGTCGCAGGTCTGTATTTGGGCAAATGATTTGATCTGGTGTGAAAATTTCAAAATTTTAACATCTACTTGAAAACAAATAGAAATTTATAAGAATACAGTTCATTATTATATATGTTGACACAGTATGTTTGCTGACTACTACATGTTTTTTTAGACCCCCCTAAGGTAATTTAAAAAAATTACAAAACAATTCACCTGGATTCCTTTTATCTGTTTTGTTGCTATGTACCTGTACAAAAATGCTTCTGGGGTCAACTAGCCAGCTATTGGCTTTTGACAATAGGCTAAATGCTGTCCCTGGACATTTTGTGTGTCACTTTCATTTTCCATACTGTGTTTTGTAAATCCAACATGAAAGCATATATTAAGATGCAATGTTATTTACCATATACTAAAACATAGGTAATGAAATTTGACACATTTAGGAGGCTCAAGAGAAAGCCTTAGACAATTGAATTTCTGTGTACAAAATACCCTTGACAACATTAATTATCACCTTGTACTATGGTGGTGTCAATTGAGTTTATGGATTTCTTGTGTTTGCAGGGACTGAAGTGAGTGTAAATCCCATATTCCCAAGATTCCAAAACTTAACACTAATTCAAGAAGGCAACCTTAAGTAAGAGCTGCTATTATACAGTAGCTAAACTTAGCGAAACAAACAATTTGAGGCTGTGAGAAGAAATTTATGTCCCTCCTGACTTTGTTCCTTGCTTCATTATTTTGGAAACTGCTGTTAAGTGGATCGTGGTGCATTGTGTTGCTGAACTCTTGAAAATCACTAAGAGGCAAGTTTGCTGGCTCTTCCAGAGGTGAGATGGTAAGCACAACAGGTCTGGAGAGCCATTCCTCAGCAGCTAAGAATGATTAAAATTACTAATTTCAGGGAATTTTAGGTGGATTTATTTTTATTTATGACTCAGATAAATGAAGGAAGGTATGGTAAGAAGGCTTCTCCTTTTCTTACTCCGGTAGTGTACACAGAAGCCTGGTGCTCCTGGCACAGAGATCACAGTCAGCTGTTGCTGATCACAGCTGCAGAACATTTCTTGGTCAGCAGAATTAGATTTTTTTGCTTAAAACTTACATAATGAAGGAGATTTCATAAAAACATTATCTTGGATACCTATTCCTCATGAATAATGCAGCTTAGATGTAAATCCCACCTCTTTTGGGTTTGACTGGAAAGAACACATTTTTAGTCCTCTGTCACTGTGAAAGGACAAGATACTGTAGTCTGATGGATCCCTCACAGAACCATAAAATGGTTTGGGTTGGAAGGGACCTTTAAGGTCATATGGTTCCAACACCCTCCATAGGCAGGGACACTTTCCACTAGCTTAATCAAAGCTACATCTAACCTTGAACACTTCCAGGGATGTGGCATCCACGGCTTCTCAGGGCAACCTGTTCCCGTGACTTGCCACCCTCATAGTAAAGAATTTCTCCCTAATATCTAATCTAAGACTAACTTGATGATGCATTCTTCATGATCAAATAATTGAGTATGTAAAGTTACCATTATAAACATTGGAGAACCTAACTAATTCTTTTCCATGCAGAAAATCCTTAATTCATAACAGATTCCGTTTTCTTGAATAACTATGCTTCAAAGTTTTTGGTTAAAAAATAAATTAAAAAATAAATCAAACAAAAAACCAAACAAATAAATAAATGTATTCATTTTCCTGTTTGATACTGAATTTCAAATGAGTGCCTTTTTGAGGAAAGTGCACTGATAATGACCTTGAATTTTATTAGATAGCAGTTGCACCTTGGAACAACATGAATTCTAGAAATGAAAGATGGGATTTTTCGAAGGCATAAGTTGAACATAAAGTAGAATTTTTAAAAGGTTGACCTAAAACATCTTGGAAGTGCAGGGCTTTATAGAGAAAGAGCCTCACACACCAATAATCAACTTGTATTCAAGGAACTTCTGCTATTGTCTCAAAGAAATTTTAAAAATATGCTTCTGAGAAGTAACTTGCTTTTTAACAGAGTGTAAAAATGCAGATTCACAACATCTTCAAGTACTTTTAAAATATTTGTTCTCCTCTAGGTTGGTTGTTTGCTGAATGCTTAATACCACCAAAAAAAAGAGCTAATTCCTAAGAATCTGAGAGAGATCTATGTCTGTTTTCATAACAAATGATAATAAAATCCATAGACGATAGGTACTATGTATGTTAGTTTTCAGTATCACTGGGATTCATAAGTCAGGGTGTCATTAAGTGGTAATATTTGTGAAATACTAAAGCCAACTTCATCTTTTCTGCAAATTGGTTGTTACAGGACTTCTTTGGTGGGGAAATGATTTTGGGGGATGGAAGTCTTCTGATCTGTTTTAATTGTGGCTTTCTCTTTTTGACACACTATAAATTAAGTAGATATTTTAAATGCACTATGTGCCTGAGCTGTGTATATCACAATTTGTGTGACCAATGCACATTTATACTATACAAGCTGAGCAGTCTAAAAAAACCTGGGTTTTTAAAATTTTCATATCCCTCTGCAGAAAAATGTTTTAGGCAACTTATATAACCTTTGTAGGCTCGTTCTAGTTATTACTGTTATTAAAATAGTCCAGTCAGAGAAGTAATAGGAACTGATCACCAACCACAGCCAATCATGTGAAGATAATTCACAGGGGATTTTACAGTTTTACTGTTTTGTGTAGCTCATTAATATTACTGTTATCAGTGACATGTCTGTGCAAAAGAAACTGTAAAGTAATTAGCTTCTAGAGAATGTGTCTTCATATTAGGGATATTTGCATCTCAATATTGAAGAGTGACAAAGAAACAAGCAGCATTCAAACAGTTACTTTAGAAGGCTTGGAAGCAAAATAATGATAGCAAAGTACCAGGAGTACCTTTCATAAAGGGCAGAAATAGCAAAAGCAAAACCAATAATTGCTAGAAAGTAGATTATTTGATTAATGTATGTTTACTTGTATTTAGAAAGTACGGTTTTATAAGACATTAAGAGACTGACAGGCTTTTAAAGAGTTGCAAAGCTTAAATATGTTTAATAATTAACTGCATGATCTGCTTGACAATTAGAAGAGTTCTTTGTGCTCTCTGTAGCACAGCTGTTGCTTTACAAGAATGAAAATGGACCAAAATTATCTCATGCTTGCCTCTACTGCCATAACTAGATTGCCACTAGTGTGGCAATCTAAATGAAAGGTAGTGAATGAAACTGTAAACATTTTTGTAGTTACTTTTTCTGTCAAACAGCTTGAAGAAGTAAGGTCTGCATTAAATATGTACAAAGAAAAGCTGACACTTAACAAAGTGGTATAACAAAGGAGAACAAAGTGAGTCTTCATAGTCTTTGAATGTCTGCTGGGCTAATGTATCAGCAGATACTGTATATCTGTTCCACTTTTTTCTGTTTGTGTGTACTTTGGCCAAGCTTTGTTTTCTTCCCCTTTCTGTACTTGTGTTTAAACCTTCCTTAGTGACTGTGTCATAAAATGTCTCTAAAGTTAAGAGTGCTAAACACAGCTTTGAAGAGAAAGTGTCAGAGAGAAAGTGTCAAAATCCTTTTAAGTGTCATGGCAAGGTCAATGTAAAATAATGAATAATGTGACTGGTGGTTTGTTTGTCTTTTTGGTGCCTTCTATTTTGCAGTCTTTTCTGTTGTACTTTGCTGAATAGAGATGACTTTAAGTTCATACTTAGAATGCAGTGGGATGCATATGCAAAAAAAATTAGATAAACCAGGTAACATCTTGTTCACAAGTTGCCCCATCAAGGACTGAAGCATTTGGCAGTCTTCCTTGTGTAATTAATTTATCTCCCATGAATTTCCATCTTCTTTCTGCACAGAGATCCTCCATGACAGCAATTCCCTATCCTATTTGAATTGTGTCAGTCATCTCAGCTGTTCGATTACAAAGTCATAGGACCAAGGAACTGCTCTACAAAATAGGGAAAAGTAAAATATTTCTTTATAGCTAGGACTTCAACTCTTTTGATAGGTATGATATTCAGCTTGATAAATAATTAAAATGTATTTCAAATAGCTTAACTTGAAAGGAAGAATACATTTACATAAATATAATGGCTGAAATGGCTGTTTTTACACTGTATATCAGTATAATTAGTCTAATTATAATGAAGCCATAGTTACATTAATTATATTTTAACCTTGATTTTTGTGATGTTAATTGATCATTAGTATGCACTGAATTGAATGTGCAGTTATGAGTACAATGAAATGTCTAAGTACTTTTGCAATTTGTAAATTTATATTTCATTTTGACTAATTAATGGAATTTATCTCTCTGTAAAAGCAGATATACATGTGCGTGATATTGTAAGTACCATATATATCACTGCTTTTAATTGTATTGAAAAACTGCAGAAAAAGCATATAAAAGTGAAACAAAGTGCACAGCAGAGCCAAAAGTGAAACAATTTTTCCAAAGCCAGCCATAAGTCTGAAAACAGGGGTACTAAGTTGTCCCTGGAAACCCAACACTGAGGCTTACCTTTGAATTACAGCCCACAGCCACCTATAGGCAATGTTGGTCGTAACCATTGTGAAAAACAAGATCCAGATCTAGTTCTGCAATAGCCACTCTGGCTTTCTGGAAACTGCAGGTCCTGTTTAAATGGGAGAAGGAAACAGGTTTTGTCCCAGATCATATTCACTCATCACAGTGGTTATGTCTCTTTTCAGTGTCAGCAAAGGCTTTCTGACCAGAGTGCCCCATGCCACCCCCATGTAGCCTGTAATCAGATTGCAGGGCTTTCTTTAAGCACTCAGAATAAATAGATTAATGTAAAGAGTCTTGTAATAATCAGTGGAGGAACAACTTTGAATCTAAAATTTTCTATACTCTGATTTTGATTTATGATCCCAGTATCTTGAAAATCTGGTGAGTTTCTTTCCTCAATAGTACAAACCTACAAGGTGAACACTCCATAGTGAGGAAAGTCATATTGAGTCCTGGATATTTTCTCAGGATGTCTTGCACCAAAATATAATGATTCTCATCAAAATACTTAGACAGGGATAAAATAAAAAATCTTGCATGCTTCAAGTGCTAGACTCCATTATTTTTCTTGAGGATGCCAGATGTTCTGTTGACCATTTCTAAAAGAGTTCTAGAAATGCAATTCTGCAACTTTAAAACTATATTTAAAATAAAAAGATTTCTGGAAATATGCTGGTGATGTCATTTGTTGCAGCTGTTCACTCTAAAGGAAAACTTAACTAACGAGAGGAAGTATTGACTGAGCATAAGGATGTAGTCTAAAAATGAAGAAGAAAAATGAAGGAGAAAATATGCTTTATATCTTAACTTGATCAGATGATGTAATCAAAATTGCTAACAGAATTTAAAGATAACAGGTGCTCTGTGTTATTATGAAGATACAGAAAGTTTTCTATTAGTGTAAAAGCTTAGTGTAAAAGCTTAGTGTAGAAGTGTTTTACTCCCTATAGTTTTAGATATTACACTAGATTTCATTGTGTCTACTGTATTATGACAAAAGCCTGAGAGGGGTTGGAATCCATACTTATGTGTTCTTTCTCTCTGTCTGTAAAATGAGCTGATTTTTTCCTCCTGTATGTCTTGTTTTTAATGTGAATAGTCTAGTGAAAAATTATGGCATCCTGATAATAATAAGGCAGAAAACAAATGGCTGTTTTACTCTAGATTGAGAATAAAATCAGCATTTTGCTGCTTGCTAATCTATAATTCAGAAAATATTAAAATGTATTTTGAATTTGATTCTGATAATAACATATATGATGATGTTTGTTAAGGAAGAAGAGGATTATAATTAGTTTAATGTATTGAATCAGAAATTAAAAAAAAAAGAAAAAATATTTACAGTATATGATTTACTGAGAAGATTTTCTGGTATCAAGCCATCACTACTTGAAATGTTTATTTAATTTAGACCCATAAAAATGAAATCTGAGAGATTAACTGAATTTCAAAGAAAATCAATTTTCTAACACAAGAGCTTGTTACTACTATAATTAAAAATGATAATGTGTTTTTCTTTCCTCTATTTTTTATTTATATTGTTTATATCTTCAGAAAAAACTTAGGACCTGGCTAAACAAAACTGAATTATAATGTCCAGAATTTTGATTTTGAAATCTACTCTGTGATGTTGATGAGGGAAGACAAGGCATTATACTGCACATTAACAAAAATAAAGTATCCTAATATGGCTTTTTTTTTTTTTTTTGGTCTTCTAGTTGGATTGTTTTTGATTTGACAGATACAGAGATGAGAGGGAGGAGTGAGGTGGAAAGGTCCATGAGTTCTTTAGTGAATGCAGTAGAATCTCAGCCTTAATGGGAAACCTTGAAGTGTTCAGGGTCAGCACTAATGGATAAAGTGGCAAGATAAGGGACCAAACTGAGCAAGAATATTAAATGATGCATTCTCACTTTGCCCTCACTTTATGAAAGCTAAAGGTCAGTGGTGGGGATACTGTTCACCTAAGACTGGGTGCTTTACATAGGCAGAGCACTAGAATCCTGTGTGTACAATTAGCACTGAGGACACTTTCTATTTCCTGATGCAAACTGAGTAAGGATGCTCTAATATAGTTCTACTAAAGAACATTAGATGTCCGTTTTGTTGGTTTTTTTGCAGCTGTCCATATTTAACTTTCTGTTCTTCATGGTAGGGGCCCATTGCAGACAAGGTGTTTTTATCAGCTAGAGGGCTCATGCTGACTAAATGTCCCTGAAATTACCCCCAAGTGTGATTTGTTCTCTTCTGACTGAATTCGGCATATTATCAAAAGCTCAGTCTCTTTTTTCCCAAAAGACAACAGCTGCACCAAAAGAATACCCTGTGCATGAATCTTCCTAGCAAAACAAACCTCAGACTCATCTCTCTATGTTCAACAGCATCTAGTTAACATTTCAGTGTGAATAGTATTTTGCTGTGTTAGAACTAATTAAATAAGGAATCCACTGCTTCTGACTGGTTGTTTAAAGAGATCAGGATTATTCAATCCATATCTTATGGTAAAGATGACTATAGAAAAATGGTTTAATTTACCATATGTATGGTTGGAACCTGAGACAGCAAAAATTCTGTGTGTATTTGATTTAAATATATTTAAGTGGATATAAATTAATGAGGAACATTTTGTTACCTTCATTCCCATATCACCCTTCTATTTTTTGGTACCTCTTTATTTAGAGAGGTGTCTACAGGCAAATAACTTATGTAGCACCAGCCAAACCAGCCAAGATACCATGTTTTATAATTTTGCCATTAACAACAAAGGACCATTCTAATTAGTCTATGGCAAGGTTTGTCATAATCATGTTAATTTATCTTTTGATAGCATTAAAATATATTTTCATGCTGTGGTTCATTATGTAAAATGCAGATTTTTTTTTTCTCCCCAGATTCCTGAATCTTGTTAACAGGAGATACATATTTATATTTTCACTAGTGCTAGTATTTGTAGATCCTTGCGTTAACACATTTACTTTGTGTCCAAATGATTAATCATATATTTAGTTCTTTCAACCAGAAATGTAGAAAACCACGAGGAGGAAAATCATTCTGTTACTCAGAATCTTTTGAAAACTTTTTTTTCTTTCAAAACTCAGATTTTTTTATTATTTTTTTATTATTAAGTATTTTCATTTCATAGGTCTTTCTCTACACGTAAATCAGCATCGTTGAGTGTTGAATTAGATGTTGGAATAAATAAGATAGATTTAGTGTCATTATGGGTAATGAGACACCCTTGCAATCAAGCTTGCTTCTTAGCAATGAATGTGATTTCAAGTAATGCTGTACAGCTACAAAGTAAAGGCTAAAGTCTCTTAAATCAGGATAATTTTATATTTTTTGCTGTATTGTCTTTTAAGTTACTAGAATTTAATATCCTATGTTTTGTTTTACTCTTGTTGTTTAGAGAATGCACGCATGCATATGTGTGGTCACAGACACAAAGAATACTCAGCAAAATTTCCTTCTCTCTCAAGTCCTTCCTCTTCAATTTTCAATGAGATTGATACAAATATAATATTGTATATGGTATAATATCCAGTATGAGCAATGCATGGTTTGAAATGTGTCTCTTTGGAGCAGGTACTACCAAAAAGATAAGAGAAGTAAAACTGGTGAGTGTTAATTCTAATAGACGTCTCTTCTTCATGTGTTGGTCTATTGACCTTGACACACACGCTGTCACAGCAGTGACATGCTGGTGGCTGTGCTAACCTAAAAGGGAAAACAAATGTGCATTGTGTGTGGGTGGTGCTGCACTAAGTAACCACAGCAGAGAGACTCAAGTTCCTTCATCTGCAGACTTGAGGTTATGTGTGTTTTTCTTGTATCCCAAGTGTGGGACCCAGGGCTATGGGATTTCTTAAACCTTCAAATATTTTTCTTTTTCTTTAAACAGGTCTGAAATGGATATACTCTCTGCTAGCTCTGAAGGTATTCTTATTGGATATTGTCCGCAACAAGATGCCCTGGACGAACTTTTAACAGGTTGGGAGCACCTTTATTATTACTGTACACTGCGTGGAATTCCAAAGCAGGATATCCATAAGGTAACTATCCAGAACAGATTTCCGGGGGAGCTATTACCTGGCTAGACTGTGGAGCTTATAGAACAATTGTACCTTTTGAACATGAGAAACTATCTAATATTTCATCTTAACAACTTTAGTAATAAGGTTTTTCATTACCACAATTTTATTTAAATAATGTGGATTTTTTTTCTCTGTTATGCCAGTTCAAAACACAATAACATCACTGCAGATAATAAAATAGCATTATTGCAAATGAAATATTGGGCACAAAACCTCTAAAAGAAATTAAATTCATGAATGGTTCGATACCTTCACTATCTCACATGAAGAACTGTGAGAGACCACACTTTGAGCCTTGTACCTCTGAAAGACTATTTTCTTCAGAGATATGATTTAACTTTGAAGGAACTAAAAATTGCTGTATGATTCTGTATAAATAAATGAAACACCTGGGTGCTGGGATAGGAACTGTTAGCACTCTGCTGTCTTAAACTTCACAAGATAGGTGCAGTCTCTTAAATGCTCCAGCTAGCACACAAAGCTTGGGTTGTCCAAGCAGAAGAAGCCAAAGAAAATGAGAGCTTACTAGCATAGAAATTGACAGTATTTGGCAATATCACTGGGAGCTCTTGGATTTACAGATACAGGTGTAGCTGTGCTGATCAGCAGGTTGAACTTTTTTCTGTAATGAGACAACTCAGCTGATACCAGAAATTAAGTATGAAACAGATACAGTGTAAAATATGGGTTTTTCTATATCAGCAGATGGAATTTTACAATATGATCTGACGAGCTGCTCAGTCTTTTCTGCTTAATTGCATCTCTATTAACATGAGAAAACTGTAGTGTGATGTGAAATTGGTATCTTTCAATTCCTGCTGTATAAATTTGTCCCAAGTAGTAACTATTGCTCTAGCACTGCCCTTGTAACCTCCAGAATACCGACTGCTGTTTTCTTCTCATTTTTCCAGAAGCAAAATTGCATGAACTGAAATAGCTGGTTTTTTTCTTTTTTTTTTTCTACTACCCAGTGCTTTTCTGGCTGTTGCTTCAGGGTCTAATAAGTGGCTTGCAACCAGTTCCTTGACTGTATGTGAGAAGGCTACTTTCTGGTTCTCTGCAGCCTGTTTTCATTTTCCTCAGCAGAAAGGTGCTATTTCAGAAAAAAGTATGATTCCTGTAAGGGATATTGAGTATTCATCAGGACAGGCAATGTTTTGAATTTTTACTGTTTTAAGCTGATAATTTGGGTATTTCTGGATGAAAGCCTGGGGAAAATTAATGATTCTTGCAAGTCTTTGCCTCTTGTCTTCAACAGTATCCATTGTCCAGGACAAAGCCCGGACTTTTACATGTTTTAACAACCTGTTACTTGCAGTCTGCTCAGAAATTATCATACAGTCTGTTGTTTGATTGTTTACCCTTCATAACTTCTTGGTCTTAATTTTTACTTCAGACTACTGGCAGAGTATTGAAAACGTGCATATCTTTCCTTTGATCTAAAAGAAATATATTAAAGGATAGTTGTTATTACACTAGAACCCTCAACTATAATTAATTACCTGTTTTCTCCATGAAGTGTCAGTTCCTCCATAGCAGTTAGGGAAGAGTTCCTCAAGTGGCATGGTACATCACATACACATCCCTCTTCAGATGGATGAAAATAATTCATTTAGGTATGAGTTATGTTACTGTCTGCACTGAGAGAATATAAATATTAACCTTCCTGGACCTCAGATTATCCAGGTGTAGGCTTAGACTATTCTTTATAGTCAGTCTTGTGTGCCTTAGCATCACATTTGTGAAGGAAAGATCATCCTTCTTTTCAGTTGTCTTAATTTTTTGTCTGCACTGATTGCAGAGCAGACTTTGTTGCCATATGCTTGTGATCAAGGCATCAAAGCGCTCCTTTGAAATAATATTTAGCTGCTCTGGTTTTCCTCCACCAAAAACTGAAATGCAGCTATCTCAGAGGAAAACAAATGTTTTTGTCAGTGGGCCCTCCTGACTGTGTGGCATGGCTGTCAAGCGCTCAACAGCTGCTGTGCTTCCACTCAGAAATGGCTGGTGCCTGGAGAAAGTGAGCATTTTAGCTTCCTATAAAGGAAATAGGGCTTTGGAATGCTTTAGAGGAGCAGCTGTATGGAAACGTAAGCTGTTATTTTCTCATCATTCCCTCCTGCCTCTGATACAGCACTCCAAGCCTGCCTCTGAATATTTACCAGTGAGTAATTACACTAATATGCACAGACACATGTATTCTAGAGAGTACATTGGTTTGATAATGAAAGAAACATATATTCACTTTGTTTTTTAAGAAATTGGTGAGCAGGCAGGTGACTCCCAGGTTGTGTTGCAGCTGAAGTTGTCTATTGAAGCACTAACTTCAAGGACCAAATCCTTTGCTAGACAAATTTATCAGCAGCAGGAGTTAAGTGCCTGACATAAAGTTGAGTGCACTTAATGTTCCAAAACAGTAATTAAATGAATGGGAAAGGAGGAGAAAAATGGGACATTTACTATCAGTGTTAAGCTTCACATGTAATGTGAATTTTTTTAATACTTCATAAACCTACTCTGAAGATTCTTTTTGTTTAAAATTGGAAAAATTAGAGTAAAGCTTTTAGGTTATTTAGAAGGATATTGATTAAGCATAGTACTTTTAATTTTTATTTCTTTAATATATCAACTTCCTAGATCTCTATTTGTTCCAAAATACAGCACTCAGCTTGTTAAAAAATTAAAATTATTAGCATAGCATCAAATGGCATCCCTCATTAGCATTAAAACTTCTGTTGCAAACCTCTAAAGAAGCTTTATGAGGTCTTCTGAGGTAACTTTTTTGGAGTATGCTTTCTCTTTTCATTAACTCTCCAGGAAGATTTTGCTCTGATTCTAGAATCTCAATGATTTCCTTACATGTCATATTCTATAGGAAATAGGAATCTGTAAATTCATATATTCTTTGTATGTTTACTTATTTTTGGACCCCAAGGACAGTTAGTGTGTACAGTTTTATGAGATTTTGAGACAAAAAATACTCTTCCCCAGAAACTTGACCATGGATATACAGCTTTCAAATGTAAGAAATCTAACAATTCTGAATTTTCCTGAAAGCCAAAAAAATACTGTTTTGTGTGGAATTAATGAATGATTGCTGTTTAGGATGTTCAAACTACGCTGTATTCCCTTACTCAGAACCTGACACTTTGAATTACTGCTTTGGACATATAAAGTTATTTTTCAGATGAGTCTAGAATTCAATCCATGTTTATTATCATTTATACTGGGTATGATACAAATTTTCAATATTGGTCAGATCTGCTTCGAGAAATTTTTAAAATATATAGCAAGAAGTTAAGCATTTTATTTATTGTGAAAACTAATACATTGATGGATACAGCCTTTGAAGTCATGATCTTGACTAGAAATCGTGATGTTTCTAGTCTTTGAATAGATTGATTCTAGTCTTTCAATAAATTAATAACTCCAAGTTTTTCTGGAACACATACAGACTGAAAGTGCTTACCACCACTTAATTTTTTACTTGACTATTGGAGGTAATTTTTAAAGGGAGAGGAAACCTGCAGGCATTAGTAGTTACACAATTACTGCTTTTCAGTGGAATGGATCTCTTAGTTCCCTGATGGATGGAGGAGGCCATGCCTGCTTTGACTTTTACTCACACAGATATTGGCATGCGTGCAGAAAATTATCTTATTGCCTCTTCTGGAATGAATGTTGTCTTTAGGAACTCCCCAAAGTATTGGGGGATTTTGTTTAGATGCTACAGATTGAAGGGCTCATTCCAATGCCTGTTCTAAAGCTAGGTGGACTAGCCCAAATTAATTTGGGGGAAAATATTTTGCTAAATATATTAGAACTGATGAGAAAAAAAGTAAATTATTTTAAGAAATATTGAAAAATAGGGAAATTGCTAGCTGATAGATGTGAAGTGTGTTATAATTTTTACTGCTGGTGTGGGGAGGAAGGAAGAAAGGAAACAGTTTAAATACATTATTACAGTCATGAATAGACATTAAACATTTTAATGGTTCAAGTGTGCTTACAATGTATATATTTGTATATAACTCTGTAGCTTTTGATTTGGCCTTAATGTTACCAACTTACTAAGTAAATGGAAGTATTTCCTCACTCTTTGTTGCTTAAGGTCAATGAAATATTATTCAAATAGAGCATCATGGTGAATATGACAAGGAGGGAGAGAAGGTGCTTGTGTACATATCTGACATTCACTACAGGAAGGAAATCATTCAAATTGTAATTCTCTTGCATAAATGTGTGTATCTGTATCTGAAGATTGATCACATGCTCAATTCTGATTTTCATTTAAAGCAGTTTAAGAGGGATTTTTCGTATTTATTTCACAGTGTACTATGATAAAAACCACTGGCTATGCAGACAAATGAAGTTATAATGGAGATATTTGGAATGCTCTACAATAGAGCTAATATGTAATATTTCTAATTTCATTCAAATTGCTGTTTTGTTGTTGCTTAGGTATTATTGATGAAGCTGAAAAATTACTGGAAATCTTATAATATGCATTAAAGAAAAGTGTCTTGGAGTCATCCCTTCAAAGATTGAGCTCTATATTCTTATGTTTGCTGAACCATAGATAAGATTTGAGGGAGGTAGCAGGAATAGGAGATTTTTTTACATGAAATTGGGAGACAGTTAGGAATAAGAAAGTTGGCCCTTCCTTCTGCCTTTTTGTAGCTGATGTCATTCAGTTCTAAATCAATTTTAATTTGATATGTTTTGTACCAAAGGAGCATATCCAGATATCAGGTCAGATTGTGCTGTGCTCTGTGATGATCTGCAAGGTTTATCTTGGAAGCTCTTCACATTTAAAGCAGCAGCAAAGTGGGTACTAGGAAATTATTCCCACCCCTCTCCTTTTACTTATTTAGATTTTTAACCTTGTTTTGAAAATTTCTATAGCAGGATGCTTGCCAGACTTTGTCTCCTTGTATGAAACAGGAGATTGTGGAGTCATGCTAAATGCTTGAGCACACACAAAATAGAGGAGAGTTCAATGTGAGGAATTACAAACTTTGCAAAGTTAGTTCTTTTTAATGTTGCTCCTTACAAAGCTTTATGTTCATACCTGACACGACTGAGTCTCCTTGGGGGCTACAGTCTACAAAAAGACCCATCTAACTTAAATAGTTACTTTCTTCTCTCTGGCACTATTCCTTGACCTTCTTAATTCTTCCCCATGCAGCATTCATCGTCTCTTAAAAAAGCCATTTTGCTGACTTTAGATGACACTTCAAAGCAGTCTTAGAAAGACTGGTTCTAGTCTAAAGAATAAACTAAAGAATAGTTTTGACTATGTTTCAGCTGTTATGCATGGTTCTCTCTTGATTATTTTTAAATTATTCTTGAAGCTTATTATAGTTAAAATGTATATTTGGTGTAAACATGGGGTTGCATATTTTTTCACTTTCTGGTCTTAAATTCTTATGAGATCTTCTGTGTAATTTGTATGACTGTTGGTGAATATGTAGGAGGATAATCCTTTAGTCACTAACATCCATGCATTCCTGATGGTAGCAGTCAAGTCAGATTTGTAGACAGGATAAGGTGTCTACTACATGCTTTATAACACTTCACTTTGTGTGTTGCTTTGGTGTATAATGAGACCTGTATTTGGAAGTGAAAAAACCACATAACAAAACAAAGCTCAGCTATCTCACCTTAGAATGTAACTTAGGCGATTAACCATATTTTAAAGCCACAGCTATAACCTCTAATTGGAAATAAATTACTGTGAATTAACTTTGATACAGCAGAAGCCTTGAACTTTTCAGAGTAATATTACCTATGGCTAGTTTAACAGTTGTTATAATTTTTTTAAAAAAAAACCTGTCTGCATCTAATGTAGACAGACCAATACTTCTGAAATGTGGCTTTTGTATGAGAACATGCACTGCTGTCAGGTTATACATCCAGCTACCCCAAACACAGTGACTATGGATACCAGTCCAAGGATCATCACAAGAATATTGCAGATTCTCACCACTGCAGCATGGTTCCTTCTCAGAGACAGCTTGCCCTCAAGATGTCTCTTCCTTTTCTAAGTATCTCTTGACAAATCTTGCTCAGAGGCTCATGAATATCTTGATCATTTTCACAGGTGTTTGCATAAAAATCTTCTATAGAAAGTATTATTATGCTTGTGGCAGTTTGTTTATGATGGATAGTGAATATTAATTCACAATATTGTTTATTGAAATTTTTTTTCAATTGGAATTTTGAATTAAGTGGAGACTGTCCATCCAATATGATTAAACTTTCAAGTCCCTCCTTGGTTTTTTGCTGAAGGTAATGTAGAGGAAGCAAAGACAATGAACCATACTGCTGGGGGTGCTCTGCCAGCTAATGCTGGGCAATAAGGGCACCATGCAACTCCTTGTTTTACAAAAATCTTCCCGCTGTCCTACATACAGGTAGAAGACATGCTTGCTCTGTTACAAAGTTGATCACTCCTTGATGACACAGCCCCCCAGGAGTCTATGCCAAACACCTGCTGCTTAGCAGGGTGAATTTGGCAGCAGCAAGCAGAAAAGTTGCTGCTGTGTCCCTCGTGGTTTTGAGCTATATCTCTGTGGGCAGTCTAGCAGTAGTAGCTGATATAGGTGGATTAAGATTATTGCTACATTTAATATTCTCTAGCACCAGTATTTTAGGGAGCCTTGTATGTCAGGATAGACTCTGACAGAATAAAGAGAAAGGCCATAGGGAACAGCATAAGCTTTGTCTCCAGCTGTGCTCACATGCCTTCCCAGCTTGCTCCAATCATAAATTCTTGTTGGAGCAATTAAAACCAGATCCAGCTAGGATCAACTTACCCCTCTCAGTTATTAAAAAGTTATATTAATTTAATCCTGTTACATTTTGTCTTAAAGAAGCTCTAAATTCACAACTGTGGCTTGTTTCCTGACATTTTCATCTTTTTTTGTAGCTGATGGAGAACTTTTTTTGCTTGAATTTTCAGTTACTCAGGTATTTGATCAAATAAATAGTGGAGAATAAGTTGAAATGAGAGACATTTTAGATCATTGACACATGGACACAAACCAAATACAAATGACTGTGCTGAGCAGTGACAAAGCCTGACTTCTATATGAGAAAATACTTATCATTTTTGAAGAACAAAGGGCCCCCTGTGTTTAAGATTCAAAAGTAATAATGTGCAGCAAGTGTGGGTAAATAAGGAAACAACATGTACATTTTCTTAATGTGCATGAACAGAATGCTCTTTCAATCTGTGCACAAGTGTTATCTAATCTGCCTCATCTTTGTTGGCCTTCAAATTTGCAAACCACAGGCTGCAGAGGACCTGGTTAACAGGTTACACCTCAGCGCTCATGCTGACAAACTGGTGAGAACATACAGCGCTGGCACAAAGAGGAAGCTCTCTACTGCTGTGGCTTTAGTTGGTAAACCCCAAATACTTCTGCTGGTGAGTAAAAGTAATATTGTGCTTATGAAAAATGGGCTACATTGAATTTTGTTGTCGTGTATGTTGCTCTAAAGAAAATCAGGTGTTTTTCTGATCAGTTGGGGAGTAATTGATGAACAACTCTCTTCTTTGTTCTGCCGTATTAATGGCTTTAATTTTATTCTCCGGTGCTCACAAAAATGGAAGGTGATTTTTTTTCTTTTCCTATTTTTTTTTCCTTCCTAGGAGTGAATAGGAAAAAAAGCCCTTAACATGAATACAGTTGCTGTATGCCATGATCCAAATATGTGTTTAATTGACCCATGTTCTTCCAGGATAATCCTAATTCTTACTAGTTGTATTTATTTCATAAATCTGGCTAGTTCTTACATTTCATTGTATCCACAAGTCACCCAATCAAGCAATACTTATGACTTATATTAATTTGAATTATTTATCCCAAGTTGTTTTGGTTCTTGCATGCTACTGCCCATTCAGGCTGGACACTGGCCACTCCAGTGTAAACTATGTCTTCTGTATCGAAGACCAGGGAGCTACAAAGCTTTGAAAACTGCATCATTACACTACATTCTCTTTCATACCATTATTCATTGTTTCACTAGAGAATATTGAACCTCACTTTCTTAAAACTTGACTGGGAAGAGCCAAACCAGTGTAATAAACCTTCAAATCAGTCGGGGTAGGAAAGCTGCTCCTCAGAGTTCAGGGGGATTCCTGGGCTTACAGGAAAAGATCACAGGTAAACCAGAACCAGATAAACTAGATGGTCTCTAGAGTCTGTGTTTCAGAAGATTAGACACATTTTGCTGCTTCTAACTTTTACTGTTGCCTCACTTCTAAGAGAAAACATTTTATTTGCATTTTATGCTTTAACTGACCCTGGTTCAGCTAATAAAAGGAGGAGACTATCTTAAATCAGTGTTTTTTCCTGATCTTAGGAAATGCTCCAACTGGTTTTGAATGTCTTTATGACAGTGTACTACTGCAAGTATCCATTTCAGCCTACTTCTTGCTGCAGGGCACAGACTGTTGCATATGGAATTAAAAGAGGAAAGAAAGATATCTAAACTTGTCAAATTCTTTAAACCATTTTCTGGCTTTAGAAAGCTAAAGGAGTTTTTCAGTATTTTAAAAGAGGTTTTTTATTATTATTTTGTCTGAAAGCAAAGACAGCAATATAAACTACTGAATCTGCTTTTAAATTGCATCCAGGATCATAGCTATTAATTTGAGCAATATTGTAGGTTGCTTTGTGTTTATTGCTTTTTATGGTTTCTTTGTTAGCAATCCACAGATAATGAGAGACTGAACTGAATTTTTTAACCTCTGACATTGGTAGGGAAGCACTAAAATTAGCTTCAAACTGCATGTTTTGTTTGCTCTGTGTCTTGAAAACATTGCTTCCAGGTTGCAGCTGGGATTCCTTGCTGAAAATACTCTGGCCCAAGCCATACTCTTCTAACAGGTGCTGACACTACCCATGGAATTCCACTGCATGAAAAGCAACTGGAAGAGTTTCCTTCTTCCTAGTTTCGTAGTAACAGAGACTGGATTTGTCAATCAAATATAATTCCTTTTGTTTCCATGAGTGGATGAAGTAAAAACTTGGATTTAGGGAGGAAAGGAGTAATAGATATGGAGGGGAAATGTAGATTTTGTAGCAGCACATCTTTCTCCATGAAAGCCATCCAAGAGGGAAATGGGTTTGCCAGTTGCTCTGCACTGAGTTAATGTTATTTAATCCTGTAAATTCTCTCCTCTGTGGGGGAAAATTCCTCTTAAAAGGGTTGTGGGAGTAACTGATATAAGATGTCAAATCCAAACATCTTATCAAACACATGGGATGGGCACTGTAGACATCTGGGAGCTATAGGATTTCTCCAGTTGTTTGTGCTCATGGCAGATCAGAAACAGTCACCAAACCCTTCCAGAAACTGAGAAAAACTACTTACAATTTTCTCTTATCAAAGAGTATAGGTAGCTAATTAAACAGATATAATAAATACTTATAGCAATACATGTATAATATATAAAATTTATACACATGGTAAGCATTTATAAATACACATAGATTATATTTAAATATCATGTATATATATATACACTTCTTTACTAAAATGTGCCTTCCATATATTTAGACATTAAACTGTATGTGTTAAAGCAAAACATTAATTAGGGTATCACTTAAATGGCCTTCTGAAAATGTGACACTTAAAGAGAAAAATATATGATTTTATTGTGAATTGTGTTAATTCTTCATGCTGGGCAGAACCTGTGGTATGCTTTTCCCATGCTGCTGTGTAATTTTCATTTTTCCTGTAGGATGAGCCCAGCTCTGGAATGGACCCCTGCTCTAAACGCTACCTTTGGAAAGCTATCCTGAAGGAAGTTCAAGATGGCTGTGCAGCTGTGCTGACGTCCCACAGGTAAGACCTTATCCCAGCAGCCAGCATATTTCTGTGCTGCAGAGAAGTATGTTCTGAAGACCCGCTCACTCTGTTGTGAAACACTGATTAATTCTTGGAATTTTATGGTAATTCCTTCCTATTCACAAAAAAGGAAGCTATTTAAATCCCAAATATTGTTCATATTTATTAAAAAAAAAAATAGAGTGCTGCTCAAGGGGCTGCAGGCACAGCAAAGATGATGTAATTAATTATTTTATTTCCATGCTCTTTTTACTCAGTGTTGTAGTGTCTCTTCTTGGTTTCGAATTTCAGGCAACTTTTTTGTATTTGGCTACCTTAAAAATCCTTACAAAAGGAAGCATGAGTGAAAAACCTTCTGATTTTTTAAAATTTTCTGATTTGCATCAGTATATGAAAAGAGTAAGCCATGGCATCCTGAAGATGGATTCGTCAGCTCTTCTCTTATGCATTACTGGAAATGGTAGGAGAGACCCCATCCTTTCAGAAGAGTCCATCTACATTAAATACCTTGTCAGTTCTCAGATATGGCCACTGGTATATTGGTTTAATGGAGGAAACATCAATACTGTTTCGTAACCTCTATAGTGAAATGAAATAAATGAAATGTTCCCTTAGGTAATATATATATGGTATGTATAACTATATATAAAATTTCTTTAGATGAGGGAAAGATCATGAAAACATGTCCAGAGAAGACAAAATTCAAAAAGCAGAATGACAATGAAACATTTGACCAAGTGAGATTTGAAGTACAGATGAATTAATAAAGGATGCAGCCAAACTTCCACCACTGTTTTCTATTTTCTGATTTTTTTAGATATTCTTAAGATGTATTTGTTTTCCCAGTCCATTATTGATGGAAAAACTCTCCAAAAACATTTTTAGTGTTTTATTTACGGAAGCTTAATTTTAAAATTCATGTACCTGTGTTTGGTGGCCAAGTGCTTACCAGCACATTCATTTAGAGAAAGTGGGTTATGCATTGTGAATTCAGCTCAGTAATTTTCAGGAAAAAATATGCTTTGACTTTTCAGCCCAGTATAAGAACCTGTCAAACACCAGCTAAAAAGAAGAGACCTGTGATCTCATTACTAATATATATATTATATATACTAAAGAAAAACCATGAAATTGTACTAACTACATATTTAGCTCTACAAATGGATGACTTGAAACAGACAATAAGTACAATGTTACTGTTCACATTATTGTGCCAGGGTGAAGGAAGGAGAAATTATTTTATACTATTTATACTATTTTCTGAAGGTCACTGGGGCTTTGAGACTATTTACTTGTATAAGTACAGGAATTTTTCATATGAAGTGAACTGTCATACATGTCAGCAAATACATGTGTAAGGTATAGAGAGGGTTTGCTGTGTAAAACTCAGGTTTTGAGGGATGTTTACCTACTATACCAAGACAATTTTTTTACTTACAGATCTCAGACAAAACTTCTATTTTAAGTGGGGAGGAGTGAGGCTTTATCAACTGTCCCTAGACCCCTAAATTTGTGTAATTTTGCCACAGCTGGGGAGCATTATGCCAAGGGTAGCATTAGGAGTTACTTGGCGAATTTCCTGATTTTTGGGAAGATGTGCAGTTCTCTCCCTGTCTCTTGCAGACACAGCAGTTTGGCAGTTCTCACCACAGCCCTGCCATATAATAAATAAATTGTTCCTAGGGCAGTACTTGATTGCCAATGTTCATTCTGTCAAAGCACTTTGATTTGGACTGGCCCACAGCTGAGGCACACAAGACATCTCTTGTTTTGCTGTCTCAGAAGGACTGGGAAGGGCACACAGCAAATTGTAGGAACACCAAACACCTTTGAGTCCTCTTTTAGATGATGGGTGGATCCTGACTGGTTCTTTATGTCTAAAGTGCTTCTTTGAAAGAGCTGCTCACACAATTTGCAGAATACGTAGGGTAGCAGCCTATCTACCATAAGTTTTACCATAAGTTTTACAAGTCAAAGCTATTATTTATCATCTGAAGCAGTCACATCTAGGAGGACTGTGTTTTTCTCTTCAGATGCATTTCCATTTCCTAAATTCTGTTTGGATTGTAGTGTTTTGGATTGTCTTCTATCCTGCAATCAGGCTAAGGGTAACTTTTTTTCAAGGCCATGTACTATGCAAAAGAAAGGTTGAGTAAGCTTTTCATTTTCCTCCCTTTATCCTTTAGCTCAGAATAATCACAAACATGTATTAAAGGGAATAACAGAGTTCATGACTCCATCAGTGGCATTCCTGAGGGTTCTTATGAGGCATTTGCCTGTGGTAATGATGATACCTTTATATTCTGACCAGAATTATCCAAATAGTTATGGACTAAAAATATAAATAATGGTTTAAGGCTCTCTTCTAGCTGTCATGCGGTAATAACTGCTGGTATATACTGATTAGGCTTACCACTTTGACTATCACCCTTTGAAGTCAAAGGTTTTGTGTACTTGTTTTGGCATCTGTCCAGATTCTTCCTTATCTAAAGTTAGTTATAAAAAATGTTCTCTGTTTTCAGTACTAATTATTTGATTTTTTCCCCTCAATTTATTTTGTAGTATGGAAGAATGTGAAGCTCTCTGCACAAGGCTTGCTATCATGGTCAATGGAGCTTTCAAGTGTCTTGGCTCTCCCCAGCACATTAAAAACAGGTATTATGCATCAACATCAAATCTTCTGCATCTTTATTCAATCTAAGAGCTGGCTAGATGCTTTAGTAGTGCTAAGGCATAAGCACTTATGACTGCTAAGAACATTTTCTTTTTCCTCTTGCCACTGAAGTCCATTAGGATAACTTAGCAAGCTAAATTGACATATGACATTGCTAAAATGCTTTGTGGTCTGCATTGGTAATTGAAAGAGGCAGATCTGCATCTGAAATGAAGCATTTCTGCACATAACCTAAGGAATACATTGTGGGAATCCGACCTGGCAATGAAATACAATTTGGTTCCTTCTGAGGGTTTTTCATAACAGAAAGAAGCATTTTTAACAGGTCACCAACCAGTACGAACATCTATTTTGAACTCTCTCTGCTCCCTACCTTATTCACTGACAATTGCAGATATTTATGCTGTTTTCTGCATCCTTTTCCTGGTGTGCATAAGCCTCTTTTCTCTTTGAACTCTGCTCATGAGTTAATTTAATATCTATTAATGAGAATGTTTAATTCAGAGAATGTGCTCAAACCACCATAAAGGAAACAGGATTGGAAGCTGAGGGGAAAGTTGCTGCAACTTATAGCTAGAACATTTACATTTAGTTGTAAATGTAATTGTTAGGACACGCAGACAGTGAGCTGTGTAAGATGATACAGCTCATTTACAAGCAGCGAAGCTACACTGCTTTGTACCAGCTCAGCACTTAGCTCTCTTAAGTGCACATGCACTTGATATTGGGAACAAGCTCTACAGAAATGCTTTGGAATTGCTGTCTGCCATGTTTATAAGGCAGAAGTTATGTGCTTGGAGAACTTCTTGTGCTGTGACAACCCTTTTGGCTTTCTGGCCTTCCCTTTGGGTAGAACCATAGATCCTTGCTTCACAGACGCATTGGCAAGATGGGCCTGACTCACATCATCCCTCTCCTTATAAGTTTTTTTCATGAGGACAGACTTTCAGTTAGAGACATTACAATCCAGATAGTGGAAAAAAAACATTGATGTCTGCATCTCTAATTCTGATGATTCTGTGTGATTGTAGTCTTCTTTTTGTGCTTGCATACCTTTCAGTGCCTATTTGCTTCAATTTCTGGAGGCATGAGAAGTCAATTGATTGGCAGCAGTTTCTTCCTCTTTCATATCTAGGTCTTTGCCTTTGCCATCTTGTCCCTTTCCAAATTTTGTAGCATAGAATAGCCTGTTATCTCACTGGCTGGAGTAGATTAGTGAGTGTGAAGGCATCCTTTATTTCTCATGTATGAGAAACAGATCATACGTAGAGGACAGTGTAACTCAGTATGTAGAGGCTAGATATTAGCTGAAAATGCTTTTTGAGCATTCCCCACTCAGGAGAAATAGTATTACTTAGGCACTTCAGTTGAGTGTATAAAGTTAACTGGGATGAATGTGAGTCTTCACTTTTTATGTTTCAGATCCTCTGGATTGAGTGCATATCTCTGTCTTGTCTGCTTGACCTTGAGAGGGCAAAATCAGACAGTCCACAAAGGCTACCTTCCCCTTTATCTTATCAGTGACTTTGTAATTTTTTGCCACTTCAGATGTTTCCTTTAGCAGCATCTTTTTATCTTCCCTCTCATGGAAAGAAGACATCAAAAGCATTCTCATAAGTATGCACCATATTCATATAAATAAGGCAGTTATTTCTCAATTTGCTGCACTGCCTCTGTAGATAAACTACTTTCAGATCACAGTTAGTAAATCAATGCAGAAATATCCTGCTGGAAGTGTCATCATATTATTTCTTATTGAGATGATACTAGTACTGTTATTACTATAGAGATAGTCACAGATCAGCCATTCTGGAATCAAGGCTTTATGAGTACCTCTTTCAAATTCTCTAAAGCAAGGTCATAATAAGAATATTTGGCAATCATGTTCATAACAATTTTTTAAAATCATTGCAACTTTGTAAAAAGCACACCTTTTCTATATTAAGAATATTTCATACTGTCAGTAGGTTTGCGTTCCATGGCAGTTTTTTAATATATGTCCATCAGTGACCTTCACATGGGAAAATATGTGCACTTGAGATCAATATTGCAGAGACTTTCTACACAAACTGTGTAGCTCAAACTGCATGAAGATTTTTCATTTAAAGCAGGACTAAAATCCCTTTAACTCCTGGCTTATTGATTGACTTGGTCTCCAAATTTTCCATGCTAACTGTTCAGGGACCTATTGAATTTTTTTAAAACTTTAGAATCTTTATTAAGAAAAAATAGCTGTGAGCTTTATCAGACGATTTAATTAAAATCGTACAGTTTTCTGAATTTTCTCTGACTGCCTGATACATTTTCTTGGCAGGAAGAACAAAACCACTGTAGAGAGCACAGTCTTAAAGTGTCACACACACAGCTGCTAAAGCTTTCAGAAAAGACATTTCTGTGTTTTCTTTGGAAATCTTCTGATGAATGCTAGGGAGATGTCAAAGACTGTTCCTGTACTCCTGTTATTTAGTTGCTTATTCTAGTTTCCAAACATGCTTCCAACACATGCCAATATGATCCTTTATCATAAAACCCAAGCTATCGCACACCTAACACTTAAAGTAATTGTTAGGAAATTAAAAAACATTGTGGGTTCTGTGCAATTAAAGTTGCAAACTTGAAGACAATTTCCTGGTATGCCACTTTGTACCACATGGAGGATTCCTGCATCTTCATGAGATGGGGAAGGGGCAGAATTCCAAAGAAATCTATTGAAATAATTAAGCTTTAAATAATTTTTAAATCTTCATTTTCTCACTTTCTGCTCTACCTGTGAACATCCTGAAAAGATTCCAGGACTTGGAAGAGTATTAAGTGTTTCCTTCCCTCCAGTTTTCCTATGATTTAATAGCGCTATCGTTCTCATTGCCATGCAGAGCAAAATACAGTTTCTTCTCAAATGGTAGACCACAAGGATTAGTAAATCTAAGCTGCTACTAGGAAATATCTACCTGGAAGGAAGGATGTTTTCCTTAATAGCCACCTCCACTAATATAATCCCCAATCTTTTCCTTGTGTTTCAGTGTTTTCCTGCAATTAGTACTGTCTATTATATTTGTTCCATGCACCATCTCACAGTAAAAAAACCCATCACCTCTTACATTTTGTTTAAACAAAAGAAAGCATAAACAAAACTGATTTTGTTGTATCTGATTTAATTTAATTACCAAAACCCAAAAAGTTTTATTTTTGGATGGTGGTTTTTTTGTGCTATGTGTGAAAGAATCAGGCTAGTAGTATACAGATTCATATTAACAGGGAATGGTACTAAAATAAATTAATGGGGTGATAGTTGTAGATTATCATGGTTTCTTTGTTAGATTTTACAGCTTGTTTTTTAAAAATTATTTATATTTATATGCACTTCTTGACATCCTTAAGTCTGTTTTCAATTTGTTTCTACAAATCAAATTGAACAAACATTTTAAAATAAACAAGTGTCCTGATCTGGCTTTGAAGATTGCAAGGAGATAAATCTAACCATTATATGAATACTTAAAGCAAAGAAAACTGTCATACAGCTTTTATTTATAAAAGACTAAATCCTGTACTGTAAGAAATAGAAGGATATTTTGATATTACACATGATTCTATTAGTATGTCTTAAGAAATTTCTTCCTCTTTTAAATATAGGTACGTATACTAAAATGACATTCTTTCTTCCCTTCTTGTTGAATTCTATCTTGATGCAAGTCCTCAAAATTGTTTCATTTGTTTATTCTTTAGTACCACTCCAGCCTATAGAGTCCAGATTATGATCACCTTTTTGATGGATATGTGATAAAGGTTTAATGGGTCTTCCTTGGGGCCCTGCTAAATTTGTTTCTTTGCTGTGTTGGGGAGTTCAAGGATTCAGCTCTTTCTCTCTGGCTACACTTTCAACCCTTGGCAGATGTGAAATATCATAATCGTGCACTGAGTACAGCTTTGTCAGATAGCAGGACAAAATTCTGCTATGAGGGTATGGGTAAACTCCAGGAAGATGCTAATGTGAAACATAAATGCTTCATAGGAATATAAAAAGTGATGCTGCTATTAATGTGTGAGACTTGTTCCATATTTCCAGACCTTCTGCAAGCCTGTTTGAAAATGCTCTTCCAAAAAAAAGTCTTCTCACAAATGTCAGTGTTTGGGTTTATGCTCCGAGCTGCTGAACCTTGATTATATTTATATATGTTTAAACAAATTTAAAGTATCTGCAGATATTTATCAGCAGAATAAAAAGGGAAAAACTTCTATATAAAGGCTTTTCTATTGTAGGTGGCAAATTTATAAACAATATCAAGAAATGTATTAGGTAGAAGAACAAACTAAAGGGCATTTTTCAAAAAGTTAGCATCTTAGTTCTAGATGTAGTTTGTCTGAGATTGATGTGTTAACAGTTGTGACCATTAAAGCCTAATTTCAGACAACTCCTGCCAACAGAGTCAATTACTCTAAATTGTGAATGGATTACATTTAAATGCTCTCTTCAGTATTCTCCATTATACTTAATGCTTTTTTAAAAAATTCACAGAAGCATTTTCATGTGAGATACAGCTGGCTAGTTCTCTGAGAACAACATTTTGGATATTATCCTTCATTCTAGGGCCATCTGGACAGACTGCTCATATCAGAAAAACCCATACCAATTTGTCAGGTGCTGGACATCAAGTCTTTTCTCAAATTTTATCAGCAAGCCATCTGATTAAATTACCCAACATTTAATTCATTTGCTATAGCTGTGTAGTTGTTTTGATTTGCCAATCTGAGATTTCCTGGCCAATGCACCAATTAATGTGGTGGCTTCAATGCTGGCCAAACAACAGTGCACTCACTAGAATACACTTATTCATTTCCTGCTGTGAGATAGGATTAGGAGGAAGGCGAAGCAAACTCAAAACTAAAAGGATACAAAGAAAACTTTATTAACAGAAACCAAAAAAATAATTAGAATTAGAATAAAATCTTCAGAACAGTCCTCCTTCCTCCCCCTGCCAACTTC